CTTATCAGAACCCAACTAGCCAGGACACTCCCTGCTAAGCTTTAACTGCTCTGGAATGTCCAGATAGCCCTTTAAGACCCAGCCAGTTTGATAACTCCCTACAACCCCTAGCGCCTTGGAATGCCCTGCTGACACATCTTGTTGCCATAAATTTGTCAGTCTGTGATTTCTTTTTTTTTTTCTTCTCCTTTTATCCCTTTGTACTTTTTACCTTTATAAACCCTGGTGAAATTTCAGCTCGAGACTTCCTCCTAAGCTCCCCTGAGTCGGTGTGTAGGACGAAGCCCGAGCTGCAGCCCCCCTGAATAAAGCCTTGCTTTTGCATTTCAGACGTCTGACTCTCGGTGGTCTTCTTGGTGGGGGTCCTGCGATGGGGGTACAGCATATTAGTGGGGGCTCGTCCGGGATACCCTCAAAGACCCCCGAGACCCCAGACTCCAAAGGTAAGAAAACAGCACTGTTAATTTGTCTTGTCCTGTCGATTGTGTTTGTCTGTTTGGCTTTCACTTGAGGACAGCCGCTCCAACTCGTACTTGAAGGGTTGTCGAAGCTGACACGCTTGTATGGGCAACCCTGGAGGAAATGGGAGACGTCCCAGATCCTCACTTGAAGGGGGACTCCTGAAACCCCTACTTGTAGGGCGTGAGTCAGTTTGGTTTTTGACGGGAACTGACCCGAAGGGCTCAACCCGCCCACCTCGAACTTGGGTCTGTTCCTTCTGTCCCTTCACAGAGGGCAGCAGACCAACTTGGGAGATCTCCATCTTGTAAGTCTTTTAAATATCAGGCCTGTGTGTGTTTTGTTTTTCTGTTACCTCTTGTTGCTTTGTGGACTGAATGACTGACGAGACTGAAAGCCATGGGCAATGCCCCATCCAACTCCCTAGACTTAACCCCAAAGACACAGGGTGAAGAAAAAGAAGACTAGAAAGAAACCAAAAAGGAAGAGAAATTGTATCCATGTTTCTTCCTTGTCTTGAGACCTCTGTTCATGAAATTTACTTTTGATTTTCAGCAGAAAACCAACCAGACCAGTCCCCCCAACCCCAGAAAATTTGTGCTTGTTTCCATTGTCCTGACCTCTTCCTCCCCTAACTCTTGCAGATTATAAATCACTGAGGGAGTCCACGGCAGAAGGGCCATTCTGCTCTCTGAAATAAGCATGGCATTTGCTGACTTTTTTGTGTGTGTCATAACCTTGATTTTATAAATTGCTTATTACTGTTTGTTTGCTAGATTAGTGCTGGATATTTTAGTTGGTCTGACTACATGTGCATGTAAAGAAGGGCTGGGGAAGCTTGGTAAAATTCTTCTAAAATCCTGCTGGTTCTGCTTTTGTAACTTGCTTCTTTGTCAATTATGAAACTGCCTCTGACCACCTGCAAGTGGCACCGACAAGATCTTAGCCTCAGGCCTTGGCTCAGGGGGGTCTGAGCATGGGGGAGAACTTGTCAGTCTGAGGGGACGGCCGCTAGGGACTTCTCTCCCTTGCCCCAAGATGATTGGGAATCCTCCTACACCTTAGAAGGCCCCTGGGTCAACCTTTGCCAGAATGTAAAAGAAAAATTCTATGGAATTAGTAGAGGGGGTTTGAGTCCCCTGGTAAGTGATGAGATGTCGCCCCATTCACTAAGACCTGATTTTGTCTTTGTGGCCACTTGTTTGTCTTGTTTACTTTAGTGCGTTTGTTTGCTCTATGTTTTCTGAGGTAGAGAAGTTCTGGGTGAGCGTGGCAGGCTCACTCAGCAGACTCTGGATTCAGCTTGCTGAGTGAAAACAGCACAGAGTTCTGGTAGAGATAAAGATAAACTGGGGGACCATTAGTCCCAACTCAGCCTTTGGTTCTTGTCTAGTTCTGTTTTAGAATTGGTACCAGTTTTAAATGTGGATCCTTGGTTTTTGTGTTTGTGTTTTTGTTATTTATTTGAACATCTTTGGGGGAATAAAAGTTCCAGCCTCCAGCTGGGCTCGGTCACGGTCACAGACCTGCAAGCCTCGGGCTGCATTTTCTTCTTGTGGAGGCTGCCAGCGGGGAGGATGTAGAAAGCTGTGTGCCTGGTTTGGACTTTTTCAGCCAGTTCTGACAATGTAACAATTGTCTAAAATTGGGGAAAAAAATTCAGGCCAGTTTAGTTTCAGGTGACCCCCCTCCCCCAGCCCTCCTCCAACAGAAGGGATTCAAAAGACCCATTGGTGAATTGCCTTGCTAAACAAGCAAGCTCTGGGAAAATGAAGCCCAACAAAGGTACCTAGTTTAAAAGAAATACTGTCTTAAATTTTTGTTTAAAAACTTTAGAAAGTGTGCGTACAACTGATTTTGATTTTTGCGCGCTTTGGTATCTGTGTGTTTTGTATGTGTTTGTGAACATGTTCAAAATAAGAATTGTCAGCATGCTGTAACAATTAGGTGAGTTTAAATTTAAAATTCAAAAGGTTATGAGGTTTGGACATTAACAAAATTTTTAAAGAATCTTCATAGTGTTTTAAATGACTTTTTAAGGATTCTTTAACTTGAAAAATAGAAAATCTGGTATTTGAGAATGCATAAGACTGTTTATACTGTAATCAAGTTATCTAGCTTAACAAAAATGCATTGGCTGTTTGGGATTTAGTTCCCTTGGCTAAAATTTGGGAATAAATATTAGAAATTTAAATGTAAAGGTTAGTTTAACACTGTTAAAGACTGTACCTGTTTTGTCTGTATAAAACTGTGTATTTCATTCAAGAACCAAGAGAAAAGACAGGGGGGGGAAACTTAGAAGCCAACAGAAGACCTATCTTTAGGGGTGAGGGGTGAGCAGGCAGAAGTGCAGTTCAGCTGGTCATGCATGGTGGGACAGACCCTGGGGGGAGTCCACAGATGGTGGGCACGCCCTGGGAGGAGTCCACGCATAGTAAAAGAGGGCAAGCTGGCACAAACGCAGTTCATCTAACCCTAAAGAGTCAGATTGGGTGCGTGCCCATTCCATAGGAGAAGCCAAGTGGCCCATCTTTGTTCTGTCCCTTTTCCCTGTAGATAGACACTGGAAATATGATGGTTAAAATTAGTGATGTGATGATCTGTAGTATTGCTAAAACTGCCCCTTGGACTTAAAAAGAGAGTTAAAAAGTTTATTTGTATAATGTGACTTGCTTCCAAGGATGTTCTACAAGTAGTATATGTTTTTAAAAGTCATAAAGGTGTTAAGTCTAGCTTCTTGGTACAGTGATGGTGATTGATTCTTGCATTAAGGAAAAATTGTCATTTGAGTTTAAAAGTTTTAATGTGTAAAAACAAGCAGCCAAGAGACAATGAGTGACACTTGGCCTCAAGAGTTTAAGAGATTTTTTAAAATGCAAATGAAAACTAAAGTATGAAATATTAAAGGAGATTAATAAGAAGCTTAAAAATTAGGAATGGATTTTTGGACATAAAGTTTAAAAGTAAAATTGTTCTTAACAGTTGCCTCAAAGTGCACAGAGGAAAAATTAGGATTACCAAAATAATTGCTATTCTAGTTTGCTCGTATAGGTTTTTTAACAGTTTCCAGCAAAGCCCAGAGCAAAGCACAGAGGATTCTTACAAGTTTGTCAGATGTAACTTTGACTCTTAATAAGTTTCAGGTAAGAGCATGCTTAAAAGCTACTTCTATGTTGACCACCTTGTTGCTTTTAATTGGAGTAGAGTGGCCTTTTATAAGACTCATTGACCTGCAAACTGGTTCAAAGCCAGCCCGGGCAGAAAAAGGTCCCTGTAAGACTATCACCTCTACTCAGCCAGCAGAGTGCTGAAAGAGCAAGCAGAGTTGCTTTGGGACTCAAAGTGGCAGAGTGCTAGCCTTGAGCTGTAGAGCTGAGGGACAGCGCTCAGGTCCCAAGTTCAAGTCCAGTGACCAGCTAAGGGAAAATGCCAATGAGGCATTTATCCAGTGTAGAGAAGACACTCCTGGGACAAGAGCAATGAAGAAGCATCCAGAGGCAGTAAGCCACTGCTTGGATGGCAGAAATGTCAGATCCTAGCAGCCCGCCTGAATAAAGCCTTGCTTTTGCATTTCGGAATGTCTGACTCTCGGTCTTTTTGGTGGTGGTCCTGCGACGGTGGTACAGCAGTACATAGTTCTTTAACTCAGGAATAAAAGAAATTCCATTTGCATTACAGATTGGGGGGGAGCAAATAAGAAACTTTTTATTATGGAAATTTTCAATCTTATACCAAAACATACAGTTTTATGAATCCTAGATACCATTGCCTAGCTTTAACAATTATCCATCGTGTGTGTGTGTGTGTGTGTGTGTGTGTGTGTGTGTGTGTGTGTGTAAGCTAGGGTATATCTTCAACCTATAAAATCTTTAAAAACATCACAATATTATCCACTAAAATTAACTACTCTTTCTTAAAATTAAACGTCCAGAGTTTACATAAATAGGTGAGTCTCGTGGTTTAATATGTTTTGAAAAATCATCTGTTAAGATATTGGTCTCCTAGCCGTGGTGGCTCACGTCTGTATTTGAGGATCGCAGTTCAAAGCCAGCCCAGGCAGGAAAGTCTGTGAGACTTTCTTATCTCCAATTAACCACCAGAAAGCCGGAAGTGGTGCTGTGGTTCAAGTGGTAGAGCGCTCGCCTTGAGCTGAAGAGCTGAGGGACAGCGCCCAGGCCCAGAGTTCAAGACCCATGACCAACAACAACCACAAAAGATATTGGCCTCCTAATGATGAAAGGAGTGACAGTGCTTATGGTGCACTGCACTCATAAGCTGACATTTGAAATCACAACTCTTTTGTAAAACTACCTAAAAATAATGAAATTAATAATGATGACAGTGGCTTCCCTTCCATCTTTCTGAACCTTCAGCATGGAGAGCCTCACAATGCAAGATGCTGGAGGCTGCGGCTTCCGGAACCAATGTCACGCCTCCCCTGCAGGCTGCGCAGGGAGCCCTTCCGGCGTTGCACGCAGGGCGGTACGCGCAAACGCTATTGGCCGCGCAGGGGTTCCCGGAAGTCCTCGCGAGTCTCCCATCCCGCTCCCGGTTTGCCCTGGAGACGGGCTCCGGCGCGTGTTTCCCGCCGAGATCCGGAGCCGAAGCAAGTGACTGCGTGGCGAGATGGAAGGCGGTACGCCGGGCCGCTCGGCCAGCGCGCTGTTCGCGGGGTTCCGGGCCCTGGGGCTCTTCAGCAATGACGTTCCACACGTGGTGCGGTACAGCGCGCTGAAGCGCCGGTTCTACGTGACGACCTGCGTGGGCACGAGCTTCCACACGTACGATGTAAGTGACGACCGCCTGGGCCGCCTCCGGGGCCCGCCCCGCGCCGGCCCTCCTCACCCACCTCCACACCGCCTGCACCCGCCGGCGCCCCGGGCCGGCCCTTCCTGCCCACACTCCCCCCACACCCCGGGCCGGCCCGCCCTGCCCTCCTCACTCCCCCCCCCTCCACCACACCCACACCCTGTTTCCCCGGTTCCCCCCCCTCCCCCCCGGCCGTCCCGCCCTCCACCCACCCTGGGTTGCCCTGCCTGCCCCAGTCCTGGGAAGCGCTCCCTGTTCCCAGCCACGTGCTGAGCCCTGACGTAGGCCTGGCACTGGGGCGAGTTTCGGAGTTACTCTGGAAAGGCATTAGTGAAACAATTCCAGTTGTGTGGCAATAAAAATTCTCCGGGAGATATTTATCGGCTCCCCCCCCCCCCCCCCCCCCCCCGCCCTGAGGATGGCTCCCTACACCCTCTTCCCTTCCTTTCCGTCTCTCTTTTTCCATTCATTAATTCATTTTTGCCAGAGGAAGACTTGCAAGACGTTTGGTTGTGTAATCCATGTCAGAAATCTGGGCCAGAAATTTAATCCTCATACACGTTGGGAGAACTGGTGAGAGAATGAGATAAGATGATAGTGTAGGGATCACGTCATGTTTGATGATGCACGTCATGTTTGATGATGATAATCTGGTTTTTCTAAACTCCCCCAGAGCACAGCATCTGGCTTTTATCACATTGAGTCCCCTTCATTGTCAGGCACGATGTCACTTGTCACAATCTCACTTGTCATAACGCCTCGCAGCAACTTCTTTGCAAGATCGGTTTCATTTATTTCGAGTACCCTTGTATAAACTAGGAAAGTAAGTTGTAGAAAAATCCAGTCACTTAACCCCATATTGCTTCTTTTGAGGGATTTTTTTCTCTCCTTTAATCTTAACAATCATTGGAAGACTCCTATTTCTTAAGTCATATCTTAAGGAATATGAGGAGGAAAATATTAGACAATGTTAACCAAGCACTTTTTTTCCCCCTGGAAAGCATTATGTACAAGTTTTCCTGAATGATTGTAAAAACCAAATTGCTTGTTAGCAAAAAAAGTTAGGAGTTGAGGATCGAGTTAGTGCAAAAGTTCATCTGCTGCCTACAATCAGACATCCTACAGATCTGGTTTTTGTACACAGATACTAAACACTGTAGAGAGGATGTGGGTTGGTGATAGCAGCTAGCATATATTGAGTATCTTTTTTTCTTTTTCTGTGCTTACACCCGGAGCCTGAGCACTGTTTCTTAGCTTTTTTCACTCAAAGCCAGTACTCTGCCTTGAGCCACAGCCCCACTTCTGGCTTTTTGTGGTTAATTGATGATGAGTCTCATTGATTTCCTACTTGGACTGACTTTGAACCACAGTCACCAGGTTTCAGACGCCTAAGTAGCTAAGATTACAGGCTCCATTCTGTTTTATACAAATTCATAGCCATATAAAATATATACCTATTTAAATCTTTATTTTACAAATGAGGAAGTTGAAACACATAGAAGCTAAGTAACATTTCCCAGATCACATAGCTGGATTAGTTAGCATTGTATTGAGATAAGCAAATTGTAGAATGTAAGCCAGTCCCACACACTAGTTTTCTTTATCTTTTTTTTTCTTTTTATGTATGGCGGGAAGGCAGGAGTTATGAATACTTTTGCTTTTTTGTTTCTATGCCAGTACTGGGGCTTGAAATTAGAATCTAGCACTCTCACGGGTTTTCTTGCTCACATTTGGTGCTCTACTATCGAGCAACACCTCCGCCTCTTTTTAGTTTTGCTATCGTGATAAAAGTGGGGAAGAAATCAGTACTTCATGTCATGAAACATATATGAAAATCAAATATCCACACATAAAATTTTATTGAAATGCACCCCTTCCCGTTTATTTTATATGTCTTCCATTGTAACAGTGACAAAGATAAACAGTTGCAACAGAGACTATATGGCCTGCAAAGCCTAAAATAACTGCCCCATTACAGAAACTGCCCATACCTTTCATTGTCATGCCTGTAAAGTAATTAAAAATAGAAGACTTTTCTAATAGTGGAAATGAGGATCAGTGAGTATCATTTTTAGGAAGAACAGTATAGCAAATTTATGAATCGAGACTTATCAAGCTTCAGGTCTTAGGTTATTGTTTTTGCTAATGAAAATTTACCAGTTTTCTTTTTTTTTTTTTCTTTAACAGGTTCAGAAACTTAGTCTTGTTGCAGTAAGTAAGTGTGGACTTCTTTCTAAATTTGTGTACATTTAATGTTTTTAAAATTTGAGGTTGGGAGAGCTGGAGACATAACTCAAGTGGTAGAGCCCTGAATTCAAACCCTATTACCACCAAAATGATACATGCTTGCACTTACAGTTAATTTGACATAAGACTTATAGTGGATCCAAAAAATCCAGTTGTTTTTTTTTGTGTGTGTATATATACATATATTATGCTGTGTCAAAAAACATGGCAAAAAATTGTCCCAAGACTCAGGGCTTCGTTTTTTATTTGTTTTTGTAATAGTACTGGTCTTGAACTCAGGTCCTGGCCATTGTCTGTAATTTTTAAGTATCAAAACTGATGTTCTGTGCTTGAGCCACACCTCTGCTTCCAGCTTTTTGCTGACTAAATAGACATAAAAGTGTCACTAGCTCCTGCCCCATCTTTGATTAGAGATCCTGAGATCTAAGCCTCCTGAATAGCCAGGATTACAGATGTGAGCCACTGCTGCCCAGCAAGGGCTTTACTCTCACTAGGAAAGTGTTCTACTGTTTCTACCACCTCAGCCCTTCTGCTTTTTAAAATTTTTTAGATGAGGTCTTGCTAACTTTGCCCAGGCTAGCTTCAGACTGCAGTCCTACCTCTGCTTCCTGACTGACTAGGATTATAGGTATGCACCATCAAGCCCAACTTTTTTTTTTTTTTTTTTTTTTAAGGATTATGTTAGGTATATAGATCCTAGAAATTTATAACATTGGAGTCAAAATTTTATATTGTGATTCTCACCTCTTGTTGTTGTTTAAATAAATATTTTAAAATAATAGCCATGAAAATTTAATACTTAAGGTTTCTATTTGTCTCAAGATCTTAAAAAATCCTTGTTTTATATTTTCTCTCAGGTAACTCTGTTCCACAAGATATCTGCTGTATGGCAGCTGATGGAAAGCTAGTCTTTGCTGCATATGGGAATGTTTTCTCTGCATTTGCTCGTAACAAAGAGGTTCGTATCACTAATGTGATCATAATAATTTTATATATGTATTTATAATTTATAATTATATATATCTATATATTTATAATGTAATAATAATTATCTAAAGAAAGAAAATTGATTTCACCTCTGTATATGCAAATGCATATATTTATATATGCACATAAACCATATGTGGTTCTAATGAAGAGACCATGAAGGAACTGTATATGCACAAGTATGATCAGGGTTAAGGGAACTGAGTAGAAAAAAGGAGGCCAAGAAGCTACCAACTGTGAGAAACAGATCTTGCCTGGGAGGAAAGAACTAAAGAAATAGTGTTATTAGAACTGATAGGAATTGAGCCATAGAGAAGGGGATATAGTTTGGACAGACTGATGACTGTAAGGAAGTATGTCTCTATGTCCAAGCAAAAAGGTATTGGGAAGAAGTATCCTATGTGTATTCCCTTCCCCCTTTCAGGTGGAAGCCAGCTGATGATAGAATTTGAAACCTTCTAGAGCATACCATTTCTCTACAGTGTAGGAAGTTCACTGGTTGAATGGCATAGGGATCTAGATGTGTGTGCATGCTTCTTAGCCTCAAGGGGTGTTTGAGCCCTGGAGTTCCTTTTGCATGCTTTTATTCTACTCTTGAACTGACTGAAGGAGTGGATTAACAGGGGTGGTTTCTTGCTATTTGTTCATTTAATCTCAGTCAAAAGTTCACAGTTGTTAACATGAGCATTTTCATAATTAGCAAGCTTTTGGGATAATATGAATCCTGTTATGTGAAGAATACTAATGAAATTCTTTTACATTTTGACATTGTAGATAGTACATACCTTTAAGGGTCATAAGGCAGAAATCCAACTTTTGCAGCCCTTTGGTGACCACATTATTTCTGTTGATACGGACAGTGTTCTTATTATTTGGCACATATATTCAGAAGGTAAGAATAACCATTTTATTTGCATTATCTTGGCATAATTAATATATGGTTAAAATGAACAATTACCCAGTCTGTGCTAGAAGTTTCACATTTAAGTAATCAAAGAAATTAAGAATTTAGCATATATAAGGAAAAGTTCTAAATAAGAAGCAGATTGGCAAGTTTAATTCTTTTGTTAACTGCATAAGACTTCTTTAATGTGTTTATCACAGCTAATACATTTCCATTGTAGGTTTCCTAACAGTAAGGACTCATTACATTGTTTTTTCTTGGAATGCATTTTGATATATTTCACATCAGGGTAGAATAGAAGAAATAGAAAACTTGTAATCTGAAGAAAAGTAGCATCGTTTTGGAAGGATAGGAGTCTTTTACTTATGCTGTTGTACAATAGTGCTGAGTGTCATCTAGAAATTAGAGTCTAAGGTTGGGAATTTAATACCAGATTATACTCAGCTTTCCTTGATAAATGACAGGAAGTCCATAATGAATTAAATCTCTTGTTCTCTGACGTGTTTACATTTTTAAATCTGTTTACATTTCTAGCTCATAGTATCTCATTTCTCTGCTGATCAGTCTGGTATGTCTAGGCATTTCTTCTCTATCCTAGTTCAAAATAGTACCCATATTCTTTGTTTTGTCTTTGTTCAAGTAGGGGAACAATATTTTAAGCATTTTCCCTATGAAGGTGATATATAGCTTGTAGCAGTGTATTGAACCACTGCTATAAAGACCATAACGTCTTTATAGTAATTTAAGGAAAACTACAGGTCACAAATAGAGAGCAAGAATCCCTTAGCATTCAAAAAGTAAAGTTTGTACATTTTTTAGCTGTATCTGTGCTTACCCATTGTGTCTTGATACCAAGTATTGGTGAATTTAGTGGAAAAAAATTTAATCCTGTTCAAATAAAAGTAAAAAAAAAAATTGAGCATAGGAATTTTAAATAAAACAAAGTTACAAAGAATTTTGTGCTCTTGCCAGCCCACTTTCTATGTATTCTACAAATCACAGGTTTATGAATTTCTTTCTTCTCCTTTATTGGAAATCCTTGTTGTAATGTGTGAGAAGCACTGTTCTTGGTTTTCATATCTTCTCAGTGGCTCACAGTACTTTCCAGATGTTTGTTCTTCATGTGGAGTGTTCACTCTCTTGACCAAATTTTAAAATACTAATATTGGTCCCTAGGATCATTTTTAATCTTTTTCTAACAATTAATTTGGCAGCAAAATTTGAATTAGTATTTATATTAGAACTGTTAGATCATTTTTGACCATCCAAATGACCTTTACAAGTTAACCATTACACTCACTTTATATTATACAGGATATTTGTAGGTTAGTATATGTCTTTTATTTATATTTGAATGTAAATCTTTGATGTGATAAACTTTTAAGTGATAAATATGAGTATATGAAACATGTTTAAGCTATTTGATAGAAAATAATTTTTATGATTTTTTTACTTTTGTAGAAGAATACCTGCAACTAACCTTTGATAAATCAGTTTTTAAAATTTCTACAATTTTGCATCCAAGTACCTACCTGAATAAACTACTTTTGGGCAGTGAACAAGGAAGCCTGCAATTATGGAATGTAAAGTCTAAGTGAGTACTTCATTTAAAAAATAACATAGATAGCTCTGACCTTAACCTTATACTACTACTTACTAAAGCAGTTTAAGTCTCATTTCTCCTTGCTCTTACATGTTTACTTGGAGAGCTGTCCATAAAGATGACTGCTTTTGAAGTTGCTGCATAGGTTATCACATATGTGAAAGCTGGCATGCTGACCTGGTACATGATAGGCAGCTCCAGTGCCCTAGTTATTACAAAGAAAACATAGCTATAGAAAAGGCACCAATAAAGTAATACTAAGATTATGATTAGACAGCTTCTAGTTTTTGTTAAACCAAAAAGGAAAGAGGGTAAAGTAAATCACTGTTGATTTGTACTAGCATTTACAATGGTCTTCAAGAAAAGAATATTTTAATTGCAACCAACATGATGAATATCTACTATAATATTGCTGAAATAGTTGGAAGGGTACATAAATGATTTTGAATTCCTCTATCACTATTTGCACTTGAAGGAGAAGTTGGGCAACTCAAGCTTCTTTGGATAGTATTTTTTTTTTTAAAGCAAACAACACAAAGCCTCATAAGGATTTCATGTTTATCCTAGTGTGGAGTTTTGACTTAGTAGTTTAGTTGAATTAAACAGGCACCTGTGGCTATGTACTTGTTGTTAGGCTCAATCAGAACACTATCTTTGCCCTTAAGGTTCTTTTGTTGTTTTTATTTGTTTGTTTGTTTTAGTTAGCACTTGGATTTGGATCCCTGGGCCTCAAGCTTACTAGACTAGGGAGGGAAGGGAAGGGATAGAAGGGGAAAAACAGAAGGAGGAGGTAAAATGTTCCATAGGAAATGTACTCATTACCCTAGTCATGTAACTGTAACCCCTCTGTACAGTATTTTAACAAGAATATATATTAAATGTATGAGTCAGCTAGGCACAAGTAGTTCACACCTTTACTCCTATACAGAAGGCTGATATCTGAAGATCCTAGTGCAAACCAGCCCTGGAAAGCAGTGCCTTCAGATCTGTGATTTACTGTTTACTTTTTAAAATAGGGTCATACTTCCTACTATGGTAATCCCTGAGCCTCAACTACCTTTTCTAGCTTCTCATTGTTGTTAGGATCACTAACACTTGAGTCCTATATTTCCTCCATGGAAATAGTCATGGACTTTTCTACACTTCTGTCCAAGAACACATCTCTATCAGTTATAGTTGAGAAGGGATCTTTCCAACTTTTGTTTTTGGATTGGCTTAGAACCATGATCCTCCCACAATGCTTCCCAAAAGCCAGGATTACTTGGCATGAGCCACTCTTGCCCAGCAATTTGGTTCTTTATTTAATATTTTTGTTCTTTGCTATGCTGTGTGTATCCATTAAAAATTTGTTGAGTAGTCTATGGCCATTTGGACAATTTAATATGATTTAATACTTACAGATGGGTATTGTAATGATTTTATATCTCTACTCTGGACTTATTCATTGTTTCATTCTGAAACAATTCTGAAAGCAACATCATTGTCATAAAATTGTTCATGTGACTTGCACATACTTCTTGTTAAAATATGATGTTTCTAGAAATATATTGCTGTGAAAATTGAAATTTACCTGTATTCTATTTTGTTGTTGTAAATGAAATGGCTTTTATTCATATATTTTTTATTTTACTTGAACATTTTATTTTTTAAAGAGCCATGACATAGCACTTAGTAGTCTAGAATCTATCGGATCTAATACTGACCTTAGCTTATGTCAGTTTCCTTAGTCTCTTTCTGGGAATGGTAATAGTGTTCACTGCTATTTGAATAATGTGATTATTTTGAATATTAAATAAATGTGTTCTTATAGTGGTGAGTGTTGAAGCACTTGTTATTTCACTTTTTAACATACAGTTAATTTTGTTTTCCTCCTAAAATAATACCTATCAAATTTTTCTTCTTGTAGTAAGCTTCTATATACATTTCCAGGATGGAAAGTTGGAGTGACAGCTCTTCAGCAGGTTAGTATTTTTCTGTTAAAGATCAAGCATGGTTAGGAGTAGAATCTCTCAGTTTCAGGGATCAACCCCATTTTTAGACCTAAGGGTATTTAGCTTAATTTATCTTTATAACTGTTATCCCAAGAAAATATGTTTTAGGAGTATAATCAATGATAATGATTTTACCTGTAAATTTGCTGAGAAATAAACTTAGGCTTCCTGTGGAACCTTGATTGCTAACCATGTTTTAAGCATGCAGAAGAGAAACTGTGGGTCACCAAGGGGGATTGTGGGTCAAATGGAGAAATTTGTTAAGATACTGAGATTTGCAGTTTGAAATAATATATGTCACAATCCTAGTATTTATTCAGTGGTAGACTCAGAAATATCTAATGACTTTTTGTTTTTATGAGTCAGCCACATGTGTTCAGATTGAATGTATGTCTGCAAATAATCTGCTATGTCTCTTGGTGTCATATATAACTAAATATCCCTTACTGTAACTGCCCAGTTCATATTTCCTCATCCCCTCTCACTACAGCGCTTAGTATCTATTTAATCTCTATTTGTTTTAGTATTTTTACCTTCTATAAACTTGATGGCCTATTAGTGAAAGATTTAGCTTGATTTCATTTGAGCATTTCTCTGTCTAAAATAGAGAAACTTAAATGAAGCCTGTATGTTAGCCCATTGTAACTATAGTGTTAGTGTTGGAACTTTTGGTCATATTTTTCTTTTTTTTTTTTTTTTTTCTTGGGTCCGGTCATGGGGCCTGTACTGTGGGCCTGGGAGCTGTCCCTTAGCTCTTCAGCCCAAGGCTAGTGCTCTACCACTTGAGCTACAGCGCCACTTCCGGCTTTTTTCTTTTTGCTTATGTGGTGCTGAGGAATCGAACCCAGGGCCTCAGGCATGCAAGGCAAGCGCTCTACCACTGAGCCACCTTTCCAGCCCATTGGTCATATTTTTCTTGGTGAATAATTTTCCACCTTTTTTGTAGCAATACTCTCAGCTTACCCTGCCATGCTTATATCAAGCCTTTCTGTTTTCCAGGAGTTGTCTTTTTTCTATTTCTCTGGTCAGTGATCTACAGTGGTTTCACACATAAGCTTGTCTATGTGGCTATTTTCATACCAAGTCAGCTTTGGTTTTGGGTTTTGGGAGATGGTGATAAGAATTGAAGCTGGGATGTAATTTTAAAGTCATTCTTAAATATTTCCACATTAAACAGTAGTTAAAGTGTCCTAGGATAATCATTGCAAGGAGTTTTGCCACATTGCACTATTGATTTTTATAGCTTATTTAGGAAAATAAAAGGTTGGGTAATTTAATTTTCAGGCACCAGCTGTGGATGTTGTTGCTGTTGGACTTATGTCTGGTCAGGTAATCATTCACAACATTAAGTTTGATGAAACATTAATGAAGTTTTGTCAAGACTGGGGACCCATTACTTCAATTTCTTTTCGCACAGGTAACTTTTCACTTATTCACTCATGAGTTAAGAAAATTTAAATATTTTACTTTTTTAAAGATTGTTTTCTTGTTAATTTAATAGAAATTAATGAAATACTAAAGTAGAATGAGGCAAAGAAATAGGGGAAAAAGTATTGTATAATTGTTTAACTGTTAGAGGGGTGTGCTTTTTTTAAAATATATTTTATTTTAATAACAGATGGTCATCCAGTAATGGCAGCTGGAAGCCCATGTGGCCATATTGGACTCTGGGATCTGGAAGACAAAAAATTAATCAATCAAATGAGAAATGCACACTCTACAGCAATTGCGGGACTAACGTTTCTTCATAGAGAGCCACTTCTTGTTACAAATGGTGCTGACAATGCTCTCAGGGTATGACACTTATTATTGTTGTTTGGCAGTGGTGGGCTTTGGGCTCTGGGCCTCTTAAGCCCTGCTAAACATGCATTCTTCTTGCACTTTTACCTAAGGATGGACTTGTATCATGTCTTCCTACCTTTACCTCCTGAGTAGCTTGTATGTGTCCCACTATACCCAGCTTGTTTTTTGAGATAAGTTCTGTCACATTTTTGTTTAGACTGGCCTTGTACAATATGTCTCTACCTCCTTACAAGTTGGTATTACAGATATGTACCACTGTGTCTGTGAGTGAATCATTATTATCTTCTGGTTCATCTGACCTACCCTTTGTGTTTTTCTAAGTGTACTTTAATGTACCAGCCTAGAAGACAAAATATGGGAAGAGACTGGTCTCATGAAGCAGAAATAGCTAATGACATGATTGAAGTGAAGTGACAGAGTTATATTTCTCCCTTATTCACTGCTCATCAGAGTCCTGACAAGTACTACCCAATGCCATTGATTTACTTAGAAAGTGACTTGCAAAGCAGAAGCAGCACACAGAGCAACTTTAAACCATTTTATTTCTTGACAGATATGGATATTTGATGGTCCTTCAGGTGAAGGACGGTTACTGAGAGTCAGAATGGGACATAGTGCTCCTCTTACCAGTATTAGATATTATGGACAAAATGGACAACACATTCTCAGTGCAAGTGAGTTTCTGCTTTCTGTCATTATTATTTCAGGTAGTATTAAAAGTTGAAACCTTAATACTCGCTAAGCTTGAAGCATTCTAGATTGAAATACATCTTTAAACGTGTCTGTGGGCTGGGAAGGTGCCTCAGTGGTGGAGCGCTTGCCTTGCATGCATGAGGCCCTGGGTTCCATTCCTTAGCACCACATAAGCAAAAAGAAAAAAAGCCAGAAGTGGCACTGTGGCTCAAGTAGTAGAACGCTAGCCTTGAGCTAAAGAACTGAGGGACAGCGCCCAGGCCCAGGGTTCAGGCCCCACCCACCCCTCCCCCCCTCCAAAAAAAAGTGTCTATAACTGTAACAAGCTTTTCAAAGAATACCATTTTGTAAAATCTGATTAACATGACCCATTGTTTTGATAAAGCTTGATTAGGAATTGTCTATATCAATAGGTCAGGATGGAACGCTTCAGTCATTTTCCACAGTACATGAAAAATTCAACAAGAGCTTGGGACATGGTAAGTTATTTATGTTCTCACTCTGCTTTTTCTGCTCATAGCTATAGCATTTGAACTGTATCTCCAGTTCTGGCTTTTTGCCAGTTAATTAGAGATGAGTCTTGAGAATTTGTCTACTCAGACTGGTTTGAACCAAGGTCCACAGATCTCAGCCTCCTGAGGATTCTCGGTATGAGCCATCATCACCCAACTCATTTGGCATTATTAACATAGAAAATCAGCTGCCAGCCAAATAAGAAACATTTCAGGATTCTATCCAGGACCAGGAGGAATTGTTATCAATACAACCTCTTTTTTTTTTTTTTTAACTATATAGAGTAGGTACTATTAAACTCTAGAATCAGAGTTTCTGTAATAATGATAAGGTTATTTAAAATGCAGATATATTGGGTAATACAAATATATTGCTGCTGTTTGGTAAATGGCAGAATTTTTAATGTGGAAGCAAACTTAGCAAAAGAGTGAAAGTAAGCCAATGTCTCATCTTGTTTTGCTTATTTTCTTCTCTTCCTGTGGTTTCCAAGCTTTTAGTAGTTTTGTTAAACAAAAATGTTTTTATATTTTATTAGTAATTACTCATCTTCTTAAGCAAATATTCTAGCTATTTTTACAATTACACGCTTCAAGATGAATTTTAACATCATTGTTACTAGTATTAAACTAATTTCTTTTGGAACTAGAAAGATGTAATACCCTTTTTTCTTTTTTTGTATTGTTCATGGGGCTTGAATTCAGGGCCTAGCCACTGTCCCTGAGCTTTTTCACTTAGAGCTAGTGGTCTGCTACTTTGAGCCATACTTCCAATTTTCTGGTAATTAATTGGGGATAAGATTCTCATGGACTTCCTTGCCCAGACTGGCTTCGAACTATAATCCTCAGAATTCAACCTCCTTAGTGGCATGAGCCACCAATGTCCAGCTTAGATTTAAAACCTTTAAGACTCTTGTCTAGGATTGTGTTCTGTCCTCACATTGTCTTTTATGTTTTTGTTTCTTTTTCTTTATGGAAATACTAGGGTCTTAACTCAGGACTTCCTTTTTTTTTTTTTTTTAATTGTAAAAATACTGTACAGAGGGGTTACAGTTACATGAGCAAGGTAATGAGTACATTGTTGCCTCCTCTGTTTTTCTCCTACCATCCCTTCCCTCCCACCTCCACAACTTACCCACTGCAACCCCCTTCCCCTCAACCCCTCCCCACCACCGAAGTTGTAAAGTTCGTTTTCAACATAGTGTCTTGTACATCTCATTGTTAGAATGGGTCAACCTGTATCCCTATTTAAGCATTTTGTTTTTTCCCTTCCCCTCCCTGAATTATACAAGATGCAGGGTACTAACATCAAATACAGTGAAAACAGGTTATACAGTAGGGGAGGAACATACAAAGAAACAAAAAAAATCACATATGGTACATTATAAACATGTTAGAAACAATATCAAGAAACAAAAAAAAAATATTTGTGTCCCGATCTTGGGGTTCATTTCACTTAACATCATCTTATATGGTCATAAGTACATAACTTTTGACCTTTTCTACTTGTCCTATACATGTACTAGTTACTGCAAATAAGGGAAACCATGGGACCTCTGTTTCTTAACATCATCTTATATGGTCATATGTACATAGCTTTTGACCTTTTCTACTTGTCCTATACATGTACTAGTTATTGCAAATAAGGGAAACCATGGGACCTCTGTTTCTTGGGGCCTGGCTTACTTCACTTAATATAATTTTTTCCAAATCTTTCCATTTCCTAACAAATTGGCAATGTCATTCTTTCTGATGGAGGCATAAAATTCCGCTATCTATCTATCTATCTATCTATCTATCTATCTATCTATCTATCTATCTATCTTCTTGATCCATTCATCTACTTAGGGGCATCTGAGTTGGTTCCATATCTTAGCTATGGTAAATAATGCTGAAATGAACATAGTTGGGCTGGTAGCCTTATGGCCTTGTTTGTGATCATTTGGGTAAATGCCCAAAACTGGGATTGCTGGCTCATAGGGAAGCTCTATGTGGAGTCTTTTGAGGAACCTCCATACTGCTTTCCAAAGTGGTTGAACAAGATTAGACACCCACCAACAGTGCAGTAGGGTTCCCTTCTGGCTACATCCCTTCCAGCATCTGTTGTTATTAGAGTTCTTGATTATAGCCATTCTATCTGGGGTGAGATGGAAACTCAATGTTGTTTGGATTTGCATTTCTTTTATGGCCAGAGAAGTTGAGCATTTCTTCATGTGTCTATCAACCATTCTTATTTCCTCTTCAGAGAAGTCTCTCTCTAAGTCTTTAGCCCACTTATTAATCAGGCAGTTGTTTCTTTGAAAATTTGTTGTTGGGGAATTTATTTTTTTGAGTTCCAAGAATAATTTAGATATGAGACCCTTGTCCATTGTACGGCTAGTGAAGATCTTCTCCCAATCTGTGGGCTTTCTATTAATCTTGCTAGCTATGTCCTTTGACATGCAGAAGCTCTGCAGTTTCATGAAATCCTATTTGTCCAACCTTTCTTTGATTTGTTGTGTTTCTGTGTCTTACTAAGAAATTTTTGGCCTGTGCCAAGGAGACCTAGGGTTTCTCCTATTCCTTCCTGTAATGTTTTCAGGGTGTCTGTTTTGACTTCGATGTCTTTGATCCATTTGGAGTTGATTCTGGCACAGGGTGATATATAAGGATCTAGCTTTAGTTTTCTACAGGTGATTAACTAATTTTGCCAGCAGCATTTACTGAAAAGGCTGTCTTTCTTCCATTCTACTTTTTAAGCTTCCTTATCAAAGATTAGGTGGACTATAGGTCTATGGGTTCATTTCTGGGTTCTATTCCATTGGTCCTCAGGTCTGTTCTGTGCTAGTACCAAGCTGTTTTTATTACTATGGCTTTGTAGTAGAGTTTGAACTTTGGTATTGATATTCCTTCCGCACTGTTCTTTCTGTTAAGGATTGTTTTTGCTATTCAGGGTCTTTTATTGTTCCATATGAATTTTTGGATTACTTCTTCTCTTTCCTTGAAGAATAAGGTTGGAATATTGATAGATATCTCATTGAATTTGTAAATACCTTTGGCAGTATTGCCATTTTTACGATGTTGATCCTTCCAGTCAGGACCATGGGAGGTTTCTCCACTTCCTAACTTCTGCTTTGATTTCGTTTTTCAGGTTTTCAAAGTTTTCATCATATAGGTCATTCACCTCTTTATTTAAGTTAACTCCTAGGTATTTTATTTTTTGTGGGGCTGTTACAAAAGGGGTTGCTTTTCTGATTTCAACAGTGCTCTATTGTTGGCATACGGAAAAGCCATTGATTTTTGAGAGTTAATTTTATACCCTGCTATTTTGCCAAGGTTTCTGATCAGCTCAAGTAATTTAGGAGTGGAGTCCCTGGGATTTTTAAAATACAAGGTCCTGTCATCTGCAAAGAGGGAGAGTTTTTACTTCATCTTTCCCTATTTGTATCCCCTTTATGTTTGCATCTTGTCTTATTGCTGTAAGCAAGTGGAGAGAATGGACATCCTTGTCTTGTTCCTGAGTTTAGAGAAAATGGCTTTAGTTTTTTGCCAGTAAGTATAATACTGGCTGTAGGTTTGTCATACAGCCTTTATTGTATTGAGGAATGTTCCATGGATTCCTAGTTTTCCCAGAGCCTTCATCATAAAGGGGTGTTGGATCTTGTCAAATGCTTTTTCTGCATCTATTGAGATAACCATGTGAGATAATCCTTGCTCTTGTTGATGTGATGAATTATATTAATTGATTTGTGTATATTGAACCATATTTGCATCCCTACAATGTATCCTGTTTGATTGTGGTGTGTAATTTTTTTCATGAGTTGTTCAAGTCAATTGGCCAAAACATTGTTCAGAAGTTTTGCAGCGATGTTCATCAAAGAAATGGGTCTACAGTTCCCTTTCTTTGATGAGTCCCTGCCTGGTTTTGGGATGAGAGTTATGATAGAAAGAGTTCGGTAGTGAACTTTCAATTTCATTGAAGAGTTGGAGAAGTATTGGTGTGAGCTCTGCTTTGAAGGACTTGTAGAATTCCGCTGTAAATCCATCCGGTCCTGGACTTTTCTTAGATGGGAGGTCTCTTATTGCTGGTTTTTTTTCGAGTTTGATATGGGTCTGTTAAGTTGGTTTAACTTGTGTTGGTTTAGTTTCCGCATGTCAATTTTTGCTAGGAAAAGGTCCTTTTCTTCCAGGTTCTCAAACTTATTAGCATAAAGGTTTGAGAAGTATTCATTTACAATGTTCTGAACCTTGGTTGTTTCTGTGGTGATGTTTCCATTCTCATCTCTGAATTTTTTTATTTGGGTATGTTTTCTTTTTCTGGTCAGATTTGGTTCCAAGAACCAACTCTTTGTTTTGTTGATTCTTTCTATGGTTTTTTTTTTTGGATTCTAATTCATTCAATTCTGATTTAATTTTAATTATTAGTTTCTGTCTACTGGATTGGGTTTTAGCTTGCTGCTCTTTTCCAAGGAGCCTCAGGTGTCTCGTTAAAGATTTCATATCTCTGATTTGTTGATGTGGGAATTCAGAGCTATAAACTTGCTTCTGGCTACTGCCTTTGCTATGTCCCAGAGGTGCTAGTAATTTGTGTGCTCATTTTTGTTGAATATCATGAACACTTGAATTTCCTTTTTAATCTCTTCCATGATCCACTGGTGGTTCAACAGTGTGTTGTTCAGCCTCCATGTGTTACAGGACTTTCTTTGGTGGCTTCTGGTGTTGAGTTCTAATTTTATTCCCTTGTGGTCTGAGAGAATGCAGGGCATAATTTCAGTGTTTCTTGAATTTGGACAACTTTGCTTTGTGACTTAAAATTTGGTCTATTTTGGAAAATGTTCCATGTGCTGCTGAGAAGAAGGCATATTCTGATGTTGCTGGGTGTAATATTCAGTAGATGTCTGTTAAATCTAGTTGATCTGTGCAGTTGTTTAGAGCTGTGGTTTCTCTGTTGAGGTTTTGCCTGAATTGATCTATCTAGTGGGGATAGAGGTGTGTTAAAGTCCCCAACAATTAATGTCTTTGGATCTATGTGAGATTTGAGGGAAACTAGTGTTTCTTGGATGAATTTGGCTGCTCCATTGTTTAGTGAATAGGTATTTAGAATTGTAATATCCTCCTGAAGGAGAGATCCCTTAATTAGTATGTAGTGACCTTCTTTATCTCTTCTCACTAATTTTAATTTGAAGTCTATTTTATCTGGTATTAGGATTGCAACTCCCGCCTGTTTATGGGGGCCATTTGCTTGGTAGATTTTATTCCAGCCTTTCACTTTCAGAAGAATATGTTTGTTTTTATGGGCAAGGTGTGACTCTTGTAGGCAGCAGATAGAAGGATCTTGATTTTTAATCCAACTAGACAGTCTATGTTGCTTAATTGGAGAGTTAAGTCCATTCATGTTGAGAGTTGGGAGTGATAGGTGTTTGGTAGTTCCTGCCATATTATCCACATTCTTGGGGGCTGTGACAACTGGGTTCTTCCTATGGTTCTTGGTGCGATTTCTTGGTCTTTATTGTGTTCTTGTTTTTATATGTGTAGGACATCTTTAAGTATCTTTTATAGGGCTGGTTTGATGGAGATATATTGTTTCAGTTTTTCTTTGCTATGGAAGGTTTTTATTTGATCTTCCCTTATGAAGGAGAGTAGCTGGGTACAATATTCTTGGTTAATAGTTGTTTGTCTTTAGGGCCTGGCATATATCATTCCAGGCTCTTCTTGCTTTAATTTTCTCTGCTGAGAAATCTGAGGTTATTCTAACTGGTTTCCTTTATAGGTGATTGGTTTTTTTCTCCTTAACAACTTTAAGGATCCTTTCCTTGGTCTGAATTGATCCTGTGGGGATTATAATGTAAAGGTGGGATATCCTGTTCTGGTCTGGTCTATTTGGGGTTCTAAAATCTTCTTGTATTCGAATAGGCCTATCTTTTTGCATGTTTGGGAAGTTCTGTACTAGGATCTTGTTAAATAAATATCCTAGACCATTAACTTCTGTCTCTAGGTGCTCCTCTACATCCATTATCCTCAGATTAGGGCTTTGATGGTGTCTTCTAAATGTAGAATAGATCTATCATATTTCTTGGATTTGTCTTGGATAGTTGTATGTTCTTTCTCTATAATATCTAGGCTGTCTTCAATCCCAGAAATTCGATCTTCTGCATTGTCTTACCTACTGTCAAGACTTTGTACTTTGTTTTTGATTTCCTTTTCTTCTAATTGGTCGGTTTTGATGGCTTCAGATTCTTTGTTGGAGCTTTGTTTTAGATCTTGTATGGACTTCCTTAATTTGGTTTTCAATGTTTATTCTCCAATCCCATAGTTGATTGGTTATGGTTTCCTTGGACTCCCTTTGCTTCTGATGGGCTCCATTCAGCATTCCCTTTGTGGCCTCCCTGGATTCCTTCACTTCTCTGTTTATGGATTGCATGAACGCCTCCATTGATTTTGTCTGTTCTCATCCTGCTCAGGTAATTCGTGTGTTACTCTTTGACTGTTTTCAGCCTGCTCATGCAATTCCTGTATTAATCTTTGATTACCTTCCTCACACTCAGGAGATTCCTGTATTAATTTTTGGTTAGCCTCATCATGCTCGGGAAGTTACTGTATTAATCTATGGTTAGCCTTATCTCGCTCCCTATCACGCTCTCACTGAGTCCTTTGCCAGGCTTTCAGTCTTTTCATTCACTGTCTTTACCAGTAGTGTTTCTAGAGCTTTTGGGGATTATTCATTAACTCTTCTGTCACCTGATTATCTTGAATGGGAGTTGAGATACCTGGAATTGCCATTTTTCTTGTTTCTCCAGCTTGTTCTGCCCATGTGGTTTGAAAGTAACACCAATTTCACTCTAGAAAACTATATTAAGGCAAGCATCAACGAGAGTCCTGTAGTTGCACAGATGGATTGACACAGTCAAAATGGATATAGATACAATCTATTTCAACAGATACAATCTACTTCAATGTCAAACAGTTATGGATTAATGAGCTAAGAACGTCAAAGAGAGATTCAGCAGACCAGAAATTAATAGGTTTAGGGAGAATTGTGGGGAAAAATAGGATTAGAGGAATGTAGAGAGGTAAAAGGAAAGAGTGAATTTAACCAGGCCCTAATTTCAGAGAGAAAACAGATAGAACAGCATGAAAATAGGAGAGAGATAAAGAATCAAGAAAAAATGAAAAAACAAAAATAAAAATTTAAATTTAAAAAATGGAACAAAACTTATGTAAGTATAAAGAAATAATACTGATAGAAGAAAAGGATAGAATGAGAAAAGGATAGAAAAGGAGAGAAAAAAGGAAAAAAAATTAAAAATTAAAATGGAATACTTAAAAAGTATGTAAGTATATAGAAATAATACTAATATTAAAGGAGTTAAGCCTAAGAGGTTGTGAATTGAGTAATCAATTTCTGAATTATGTATGCACACAACGAAGGATAAGGTCTAATAATCGACGATGGGTATGTATCTGGGGATGAACAGAACAGCAATTAAGTCACACAAACAAAAACAAGGACCAAAATGTTAAAAAAAAAAAAAAAAAAGATTTAAAACCACACACATACACATACCTAAGATAAAAATTATGGGAAAAATTAGAAAACAAATTTTTTTTTATTAAAAAGTAGGTACAAAAAAGTTATTTGATTTTTTTTTTTGGTGGGGGGGGGCACGGGGCGTGGAAGGATCTGTATCTCCTGTGTCCATAACCAGTCTCTTGGTGGAGTCTCTGGTTTGCTTGTGGTGTTTGGTTTTCCTGTGGCTTGATTGGTTTCTTAAGTTAGTTTGAGCTGGTAGAAAGAAGCTCTCCCTTACCCAGGACTTTGTGATCCTCCTCCCTGGCTAGTTTATTGGGAGGGAGATCTGCTTTGAGTATCACAAAAGAGGGAGATAGCTGTTTCTTCTAGCTTGGAGTTGCTGTGATGGATGAGGCTAGGTTGTGGGTAGGTTTGAGGCCTATCAGCAATTAGTAGCTTTTCCTTGAGGTGCTAGCTCCTGGCCTGGAGTCATTCTCAGGATTTATGTTTACTGATTTTCAATTGTTTTTCATTTACCCAGCAGCCACCGCCACTGCCGTGGACACCAGCAAGTGCTCAGATCTGTCTCCTTAACCAAGCTGCCTGGGTTTTCCTTCTCTTTGTACTGTGATGGCACACTTGGTGTGATTCTCTAGCCTAGGACTGTTCACTGAACACTAAAACTGCTCTCTATGCAAGAGCTTCGTTAGCCTTCAGCTTCTCCTCTACCATCTTCCTCCGGACTCTAGGGCTTCCTTCTTATTGACAGATGCTCCGATGCCTGAGCTATGGCCTCCAGCATGTTTTTAGTGACTTAAGTTTCTCTGTGTGGTCCTACATGTCCTGTGTTATTCAAAGGCCTTTAACATTTTTTTCCGTAATCCCAGTGTAATCATTCAGTCTTTGTTCAGTAAATCCCTGATTATTGCTACAATATTGAGAAATTACTGACCTACCTTTTATTTTGATTCTGTAACCTGTTCTAATGAAACTGCCATTTTATAATTATAATTGGATGGCTCTTTTGATTGACTTCAAGACTGTCATACTATTGGTCAGTAATATTTTATCTTTTTGTTGTCATTGTTGTACCAGTCCTGGGGCTTGAACTGAAGGCCTGGATGCTGTCCCTGAGCTCTTTTGCTCGAGGCTAGCTAGCATTCTACCACTTAATCCATAGCCCCACTCCCAGCTTTTCTATAGTTAACTGGGGATAAGATTCTTACGGACTTTCCTCCCCAGACTGGCTTTGAACCTTGATCCTCAAATCTTGCTCTTGAGTGATAGGTTTACAAGTGTGAACTGCTTTTGTAATGTGAGTTTATATCTTAATTACTTAACTTCAGAAATGATTATTAATAGTGGTAGTAGCATTTTTATTTTGCTCTGATTTAAATGGAAATATCTTGAACTTTATAGTTACATAGCACTTGGTAGCTTTATGTTTGTCATAGGTATTATCCTCTTCCTTAATCCCAGGACTAATAAACAAAAACAGAGTGAAACGTAAAGGACTACAGAATACCTTGTCAGTAAGACTTCCTCCTGTCACAAAGTTTGCAGCCCGTAAGTTAATTCATGCTGTTGTATGAAATTCTTTTGTTTATATTTCTTCAGTTCTTTTACTTTATGTCTTCTGTTTTAGTAATTACATTTATAAATATTAATATACATTCAGAAGATAACCTTAAGTGCCTGCTGATCTTGTTTGGATTAAAAGATGATTTATTTTTGACATGAGCTTATCTGATGGCATAATAACTTATTTGATATTTTAAGTGTTTTCATATTTGTACATTGCCTATAAAAACTGAACTTGCTACCCATTAAATTTGGGCTTTTCTCTCCTCTGAAACAGCTATTAATATATTAATTGATTTTTATGGCCCTTTTTACTACATGCCTGGTATAATGAAGTAAGGAAGGTAAGAACTGAGACAACAAAATAAAAGGAGAGGGCTCTGACAAATCAAGATTTTAGGACACTGAAGCCTAAGTATACTATAGCATTTGAGCTGGACTTCTTTCAGGAAGTGAGTTTAAGACAAATGTACTCAAATAATGGGATTATTGAGTGAAAACTATCAGATACTATTTCTGTTTTAGGATTAGTGTAACTGAACTATTGTGTCCCTAATGAACTATTAAATGATTAATTAAATAACATGAATAAGGGAGTGAAAGTGATGTAATTTATGATTTTAATTATGTTTAGAGGAAGCTCGTGAGAGTGACTGGGATGGTATCATTGCTTGCCATCGAGGTAAGCTATCTTGCTCAACGTGGAACTATCAGAAGTCTACAATAGGATCTTACTTTCTCAAGCCAAAGGAACTGACCAAAGATAATATTACTGCAACAGTAAGTGATCTTGTTTTCTTACAATATTTTCTCCTTTCAAACTGTCCTCTGGTAATTTGGTTATACTCAAGTTTACTAATAGTATTGGTGGAAAAAACATAGTTTAACTTTTGAAGTTATTCATTCTAACCAGCAGAAATATTTTTAATTATTTGGGATGGAGTATAAAGTAAGATTTCAATGTGATTTTGAAGATTTATTGTATTAAACATCTTTTCTGTGGTCATGGGCCATTTGTGTCCTTATACCAGGACTGCACCATCTTATTAGGTCAGCTTTGTAGTAAGTGTTGAAATCATAAGCTATGACTCCGACTTTGCCTTTTTTGTTTTTTCAGTTTGACAGTCCTGGGCACTGTCTCTAAACTTTTGTGCTCAAGGGTAGCACTCTACTAATTGAGACACAGCTCCACTTCCAGTTCTTTTTATAGTTTATTGGGGCTGGCTTGGAACCTTGATCCTCTGATCTCAGCCTCTTGAGAGGCTAGGATTACAGGTATGAGCCACCAGCGCCCAGCTGGTTTGTGTTTTTTTCAAGATTCTCTTAGCTCTTTTGGCCCTGTGGATTTTGTTTGTTTATTTTGATATGCTTTGAACTCAGGTGTCAGGGCACTCTCCCATAGGTTTTTTCCACTTGAGGTTGGCATTCTACCACTTGAGCTATATCTTCACTTTGTGTCTGTGTCTGTGTCTTTGTTTAATTGTGTAAGAATCTCATGGATTTTCCTGCTTTTGACTGGCTTCAAACCTGATCCTCAAATCTCCACTTGAATAGCTAGGATTATTGATGCCAGCCACTGGTAACAGGCTTAAACTGTCAATTTCTTTAAAAAAAAAAAAAAAGCTAGGATTTTTATTTTTTTTTGGGGGGGGGGTCCAGTTGTGAGGCCTGAACTCTGGGCCTGGGCGCTGCCCCTCAGCTCTTCAGCTCAAGGCTAGCGCTCTACCACTTGAGCCACAGCGCCACTTCCGGCTTTTTTTCCTTTTGCTTATGTGGTGCTGGGGAATCGAACCCAGGGCCTCAGGCATGCAAGGCAAGCGCTCTACCACTGAGCCACCTTCCCAGCCCTGGGATTTTGATTTTTATAAACTAATGAAAATGAGTTATTCATGGAGCATCTCTGCTCCATGAATAATTTCTGTCAACAGTTTTGTACTAAAAACAATAAATATTTTATACCACTTAGATTTGTTTTCTTTGAATTTTTTTTTCAATTGACTTTTGCATCTTGATCTTCTATCTTGCAACATTGTTGAACTTGTTCATTCTAATCATTTCAGTATATACCTCTGCTTTTGGAAATGCTAATTAAAAGTATAAATCAACATTTTCACTTTATATGTACAAATTACTTTGTCTGTACATATGCTCTAATGTCCCTTGGTATGAAAAGCCAGCCTTAAGCTTTTCTATGCATAGAAAGTCTATTTTAAGCTTCTTTAGGAATTTTACCCACAGTTTTGAGTAATGATTGCAGTAATGGTAATAAAGATAATTATACTCGCAACACTTCTATGATACAGTCTTCTGTTAGCAGATAACTGAGGCTTACTAAGTAACATGCTTAAGTTCAGTAAAGCAAGTAAATGACAGACTTGGTTTAAAATTCAGACAGCTCATTTTGAAACCTTAACAGCCAGCCTATAACAACTCATTCAAAACATTTAGTGTATGTGTACTTAACTGGAGCTGAGTCATTTGTCTGATAACCTCAACTATTTGGAACAAAGCCAATAACACGCAGTAATTGTTAGTCCATGCACTCAGTTTGTTCCTCAAAGGTGTAACTCTCAAGTTACACCTTTTTGCTTATTCTTTCTTAATAATACATTGCTAAAATGAGTAAATTAGAAAAGGCTCGAAGCAGTCTGACAACAGTAAATCCCATTAAGATAAATACAAGTTCTGTAAAGCATAGCAGGACAGACACACAGGGCCTTTGTTACTTGTAGGTGATACTCTTGTATCTCCATTAGTTCCTGAGGGTATAACTATAGCTTTGCATGAAAATGAGTTATTCAGAATAGGCAAGATGACATTTGTATTCCTTTTAGAAAGTTAGAATGTTATTTCCTGGCTAAAATACTTCTGTTAAAGACAAAGCTTTAATTATTTAAAAAAATGTATATACATATAGAAATGCCATAGAATATATAGTGCTGTATCAATTGCCTGCATTATTAGATAAACTCCAATTTAATATTTTCTATTTAAGTCTTGAAAGTCAACTGTTTAGGTATAAAATTCAGTTTTTGAAATACCTCTTGGGTGAGCTACATTTGTGTGACACACATTGGCAGTCAGTGATAGTGATTTCTCTGGCATGATCTACCACACTTCCCCCCCTCCCCCCCTTTAGGGGCTTGAATTCAGGGCTTGGGCTTTTTCGCTCAAAGCTAGTGCTCTGCCACTTTGAGCCACAGCACCACTTCTGGTTTTCTGGTCAATAATTAGAGATAAGAATCTCACAGATTTTCCTGCCAAGGCTAGCTTTGAACTGAAATCCTCAGATCTCAGCCTCCTAAATAGGCTAGGATTACAGGTGTGAGCCACCGGCACCCAGCTCGTTCTCAAAATTTCAACATAGATAAACAGGCATTTTATTGGTATCTTACTGATATTATAAATGTTAAAATACATTTTTATTTTTGGGTCTAGTCGTGGGGCCTGAACTCTGGGCCTGGGCGCTGTACCTCAGCTCTTCAGCTCAAGGCTAGCGCTCTACCACTTGAGCCTCAGCACCACTTCCAGCTTTTTTCTTTTTGCTTATGTGGTGCTGAGGAATCGAACCCAGGGCCTCATGGCATGCAAGGCAAGCGCTCTACCACTGAGCCACCTTCCCAGCCTCATTTTTTTTTGGGGGGGGGGGGCGGTCCTGTCTTGGGGCCTGAACTCTGGGCCTGGGCACTGTCCCTCAGCTCTTCAGCTCAAGGCTAGCGCTCTACCACTTGAGTCACAGCGCCACTTCCAGGTTTTTTCTTTTTGCTTATGTGGTGCTGAGGAATCGAACCCAGGGCCTCAGGCATGCAAGGCAAGCGCTCTACCACTGAGTCAACTTACCAGCCCCCCCAGCTCCATTTTTTATAAAAACTGCTTATACATCAATGTTTTGATATGCTGTCATGTATTATTTTGTTAGTCTATCAAATTAAAGTATATTGGATTCTTTCACTGGGAATGCTAACTGGACTATGTTTTCAGTATTCAGACTATTAAAAAAATAATATAAGTAAGGGCAAAATTAAAGTAGTGGAATGATTGCATGTCAGCACTGCTACAAGTAAATTAACAATTAAGTATCAGCCTAAATTGACTAAATTTCAGTTGAGTTGTATTTTGTTGTTGTGGATAATTTTCATTTTTTTAAAAAAATGGAAACAGAATTAAATATATTTCTTAATAAACACAAATAGAATTATATTTAAGAAAACTACTGGTGCTGATAGTTCATGCCTATTATCCTAGCTATTCAGAAGATTCGAATCTGGAGGATTATTGTTTGAGGCCAGCCTGGACATAAAAGTTAATTAGGCACCATCTTTAAAATAATTAGCAAAAAACAGGGATGGTTCAAATGGTAGAGCTTTGAGGGTCTGAGTTCAAACTGTAGTACCATCAAAACAAAAAGGAAAAAGAAGAGACACTAGTCAGCCAATTCATTTTTAATGCTCTTTTTTCCTTAAAGGCAGTAGATATAACTTCTTGTGGAAATTTTGCTGTCATTGGCCTCTCGTCAGGTACTGTAGATGTATATAACATGCAGTCCGGTATACATCGAGGAAGTTTTGGCACTGATCAAGGTACTGAATTTTTTCTTTGTCTTGTTTTAAAAAACAAATTTTAGATGGATTATTGTACCTTGTGTAGCAGATACTACCATATCTATTATAAATACATGTTGAGCTATTCTTCTCTGCTTTAGACAAAAATCACAATTATTTTTTTGAAATCAACTTGTGACATCAACTTGCTTTCTGTTTTTTATATGAACAGTAAAATAAAAGATCTCCCTGCTTCATAACCCAGATTAATTTCAAGATTAAGGACTCTGAATAGTCAGAGTTTAGATATAAACAGTCATACTTCATGCATTGTTTTGATAGACACTGCCAATTATGATTTCTCTTCTCTTTTTAAAGCTCACAAAGGATCTGTGAGAGGTGTTGCTGTGGATGGATTAAACCAGTTGACAATTACAACTGGCAGTGAAGGATTACTCAAATTCTGGAACTTTAAAAACAAAATTTTAATCCATTCCATGAGTCTTGATTCATCTCCAAACATGATGCTACTACATCGGGACAGGTAAATTTCACTTTCAGTAATCATGGACTTTTTTCTTTTTTTCTTTTCTTTTGTTGTTTTTGATGACAGTTGTTAAAGTTACCAAATGGGAAAATGAAACTGTTTCAGTTTAATTTCCTGAAAGGTAAATTTGATTGACAAAATAGAATACTCAGGTTGGTTTTTTTTTTTGTTTTTTTGAATCTGGTACATTTGTCTTGCTAGTGGTATCTTGGGACTTGCCTTAGATGATTTCTCCATTACGGTTTTGGACATAGAAACTAAGAAGATTGTCAGAGAGTTCTCAGGACACCAAGGCCAAATCAATGACATGGTAAGACAAAACTTCTCATTTCTGTAGAAATGTTCAAATCATTGAACTTGTTATATTTTAATATCATTAAGCCCATCATGAAGAGACTTTTAGAATAAATAATAAGTTGCAGCTAATTTTCAAATAAATATTGAGAAAAAGTTGAAAATGTTTAATATTTTTTAGGGAATTGATGCTATCAGGTTGAATTACAAAACCCAAAATTTAGCTTTAATTTTAAATAAGGCTAAACTATTAAATGAGGCTGAGAGAACTTCTTTCTGTATTTTTTATATATAAGAAAATAATAAATAGCCTGAAATCTCTGATTTATTCTAGTCTAGTATGTCTAAAGTTTACATATCTTATCTCCTAAAGTCCTTTGTTACATTCATCATTGTGTACTCAGTGGAGTACATGATAATAAGAAATGTTCCTCATTTTTTGTCAGAGACTGGCTCAAACTTGATATGTAACACTTTTACTCATTGGCTGGTGCTCTACCACCTCCAGCCCACTAGAAATGTTTTTAAAAGCATTTTCTTCATTTAAAAAAAGATACTGAAGTGCTACAGCACCACGTAAGCAAGCACAAGGTCCTTAGTTCTAGATCTGGTATGGGGGGAAAGGCACACAAAAAAATCCAGCAACTTAAAATTGTCAATTGAGGACTGTATAAAGATAAAACCACTAGGGGACAAACCAGTAGGTAAATTTACTTGTTAGATCTGACACCAGAAGTAAGAATTTGAATGCAAATGTTTCCTTTTCTAAAGGTAGAAGAAAGAAATTGGTCAGGAAATTCTGCTTTGCACCTAAGAGGCTGGCAAAATTACCCGTTATGTTTTGACAGCATCTGTAGAAACAAGAATGGGAATGATGAAATGGCATTTTTAAAAACACCTGTCATTGTGAACATCCTCTGCCAGTTTCTCCTTCTGAAACTTTCTCACTTGTGATGTGAACATCCTCTGCCAGTTTCTCCTTCTGAAACTTTCTCACTTGTGCTTGTCCATTAATAAAATTTTTAAATGAAGCTGTAATTACAAGGACTTCCTCAATAAATTTAGTATTTTAAGGTAATTTTTACCGTCCTCAAAATTATGGCGGCTTGGATTCTTAGAAAGCATACATTGTTTTAAGAAAATAGACCTATTATTGCTTCCACATAAATAATTTTTCATAAATAATTTTTCAGTCTTCTTATAAAGACATATTAATGTTAAAAATGATTGGCATTCACAGTTGTTTAGACTTTATTTTTACTTATACTTTAATTTTATTGTCAAGGTAATGTACAGAGGGGTTCAGTTACATAAGTAAGGTAGTGAGTACATTTGTCGAACTTGTTACCCCCTCTTTCATTTTTCTCCATCTGTCCCTCCCTCCCAATCTTCCCCCCTCCCAAGTTGTACACATCATTTCCAACATACTATTGAGTATTGCTGTTGCATAGGATCTCCCCCTTGTCCTTTGTCTCACCATTTTGTTATTCCCCTTCCCTTCCCTAGTTCAGATAAACATATATACAATACCCAGAGTGCCAAAATCGAGTGCAGTGACAACAGGGGATAAACCATAGGGGAAAAAATACAAAAGAAAAAAGAAATCACTTAGTCCATTGAGAACAACAACAAGAGGAAAACCTCTTGTGTCCATGTCTTGGAGTTCATTTTGCTTAGCTTCATCTTATATGGTCATATGTACCTAACTATTAAGCTGTTCTGCTCATCTGCTAATTATCCTAGATGAATACTAATTATTACAAATAAGGTAGTCCATGGACCTATGTTTCTTTGGGTCTGGCTTAAGGGAGTTTAAGTATTAATCAAATTAACTTTTTATGAAGCCTTAATCTTTTTATCCTATATTCTTAAAGGTGTTTGTATATACCCATAAATATATACCAGTGTGTCTGAATTTATATGGCTTTTTGTTGTTGCGTTACTTTGTTTTAGACATTCAGTCCTGATGGTCGTTGGTTAATAAGTGCTGCAATGGATTGCACTATTAGGACTTGGGACCTTCCATCTGGGTGGTGAGTTTAAGTCCCTCAGGCCATTTTATAGTCATTGCCATAATGTGTGGTATACCATGGTTAATGGGTTGAGTAGGTTTTTAATATGAATGTATTGGGGGATTTTCCTAATATGACACTATACTGGCAATATTTTGGCCCTGTAAACAGTAGGGCCTAACTAATTCTTAAAACATTTCTGTACAGGGGCTGGGAAGGTGACGCAGTGGTAGAGTGCTTGCCTTGCATGCATGAGACCCTGGGTTCCATACCTTAGCGCCACAGAAACAGAAAAAGCCGGAAGTGGCGCTGTAGCTCAAGTGGTAGAGCTCTAGCCTTCACCTGAAGAGCTGAGGGACAGCGCCCAAGCCCAGAGTTCAGACCCCATGACCTACAAAAAAAAAAATTCTGTACAATAGAGACCAGGATTGAGTAAATCTTTAAATGGAAAGCTTGTTTCTCCTTCCTGCTAGTCAAAGATAGAATGCAGACAGACTTCATTTTGAGGGTTTTTTGAAGTTATTCTTAAAGGGCCCAAACTCCTAGTTTTTCCTTTATATTTTCATATCTTCTCTATCAGTAACTTGGCAGTGTCAGAAATTGGCTTAATGGAGTGAAACTTGCTACTAATCCAACACTTTCTCAGGAATTGGATAACTTCATGTGGAAATAGTCTGACATTTAGAAAGGAAAAACCCTGATGTTCTCATTTCCCTGCAGCATGAGGTACTCATAGCCCACATGTATACCTGATTTATAATAAGCACAGATGAGAGTGCTATTAGTGGGTCCAACTCTGATAACTGCTGCCATGCCTCTCTTTCCTATTCCATACACTAAAACAAAAGTGAGTCAGTTAGCTTCAGAAAGTTCACCTAAAATTGCTATTTCCTAAATTTAAAAAACTTGCTTTTAAGACACTATTTAGAAGTATTGTTAGTTGCTTGTTGGCCTTTTTGCTGTTTTCTAAAAATGAACATCATGTAATTTTAAGCAAAGTAAAAAAATTGTGGAAGGTAATATAGTTGGTGTATGTGCTTTTTCTTCTTAATAGGGTAGAAGAAATAGGCTAATGTCCAAAAATATTAAATTGGCAAGGCGTTTAGTTTCTTTTGCCTTTTTTGAGATAGCAGTCATGGAACTCAAGATCCTCCTACCTCAGTGTCCTAAATGCTAGAATTATAGGCCTCATCACCACATATAGCTCCCTCTCTCCCCCCACCCTGAAAAGAATTTTTTGGGGGGGGGGGGGTGGTCCGGTCGTGGAGCCTGAACTCTGGGCCTGGGCGCTGTCCCTCAGCTCTTCAGCTCAAGGCTAGTGTTCTTCCACTTGAGCCAGAGCGCCACTTCCGGCTTTTTTCTTTTTGCTTATGTGGTGCTGAGGAATCAAACCCAGGGCTTCATGCATGCAAGGCAAGCGCTCTACCACGGAGCCACATTCCCAGCCCCCGAAAAGAATTTTTTTTAACTATTAAGTAATCCTTGGAATAGAAGAACTTATATCTGAAAGTAGCATAAAAGCCAAAAAGCTTTGATTCAACATTAGCTTTTGTGAATTGTATCATTTTTAGTAGAGCTTAAGTACTTTAATGTTTTAATTATTTTTGTAGCCTTATAGACTGCTTTTTGTTGGACTCAGCTCCTCTCAATGTAACTATGTCCCCTACTGGAGACTTTCTGGCAACTTCCCATGTGGACCACCTTGGAATTTATCTTTGGTGAGTTCTTTCATATGCTTCTCTTATTTGGGTCAGAGGATGATATACCCAGAAATCATAGTTCTTACAGTAATGGTTAGTTTTTGGGTTTATATACTAGAAATGTCCCTGGTTGACATAGATAGCTAAATCATAATAAGTTAGTCTTTGGCTCATTTAGCATCTGCTTGATAATTTAGATAGCTTTGTTCAAGTGTGTCTTCTAAAGTACATGATATTTATGTTGTCCTTTTTGGCTTTTGTTTTCAGGAAGGGTAAATTAAAATTTGCTTTTTTAAAATATAAAATATAGCACAGATGGGAGCAAAATGCTAAAGTTAATTCTAGTTGCTTGATTTTTCATAACAAACATTATAAGATATTTATTGTGATACTCAAATCTATGTTGAAATATAAGGCTGGAAATAAATGATAATCACCTGGGCCTAGAAGGGTTTTATTTTCTGAGTTTATATGTTTAATTTGTTGAATTGTACTTACCAGCGAGGAGAATAAAAATTTTTTCTATTTCTTTTGTTTTTTTCATTTTTCTGGTTCTTTTTTTTTTTATTTGAAAATGCTAAACGCAGAGGGGTTGAAATTACCTAAGTGTCAGGCAAATAGTATATTTCCTTTGGACAATGTCACTCCTTCCCTTGTCCTCTCCCAGTTTTCCCCTCCCATCCTACCCACAAATGGTATAATTCATTTTCAACATAGTGTCCCATGATTACCTTTGCTATATTTGTTTACCCTTTGTCCCTCCATTTCTGTACCTCCCCTTATACTCCCAGAGACAGAGACAAACAAAAAGAAAAGAAAAAAATGCAAAAAAGAAAAAAGCTCTTTTAAAGAACAAATCCTTTTCTATTTTAGCATTACAGACAATATCTCACTAGGTAGCACAAGCTGACCTTGAACTCTCAGGCCCCCTATCTCAGCTTCTCAACTGCTGGTATTAGGATCACAGGTATAAGCCACCATGCCTGACTCCTTTTCCTAATTCAGATTTTAAGATGCTGTTACATTTTTTTAAATAAAAAGTAAATTGATACATAGTGAAACAGGGTATCTCCTAGAGTCAGCCTTCAGCAATTAAAATCATAGTAGTTGTTGGATCTCTGTAGCTAAGAGTATGGGGCTTCTTTGTATATAGCACTGATAACTCAGAACCTGAGGTTCCCAATTTTTATTTTCCATTTGAGATTGATGTGTGGGAAAAATCTTATCCCTACTCTGGGACAAGTGTTTTTATCTTGATTACTCATCCATAGCCAGTCTGAGAAGCATGGCCACTTAATAGGCCATTCTAGGAAAGGAAAATCCATGACTGTTCAACATACCCTCGAATAGTCAGCATATTCATTATGTGACTCATTTTGTAACTATCATTTCTTTCATTATAATTTTCTTAAATGCAGGTTCGTATTTATTAAAACAAGATGGTGGGGGTTATTTTACTTTATGAAAATAGTATCTGCTACTAGTCTCTTTCAAACATGTTTCTATACTACATTAAAAATAAGATAATGTTTTGTTGTTTGTTTTGTCTTTGTGCTGACACTGGGGCTTGAACTCAATCTCACCCTCTTACTGGGCTTTTTCCATCATGGTTGGCATTCTACCACTCAAGCTATGCCTTGAACTCTGGATTTTTGCTGGTTAGGATTTTCCTATCTGGAGTAGCTTTGAAACTTGATCCTCAGATCTCAGCTTCCCAGAAGCTATTTATTAATTTTTTTAAATAACTTTCTTGTGATAACATCTATGGCATAAATAGAGAAATTTAAATTGATATAGTCTGTCCCAAATTTAAGATTGTAAAGCTTATTAGATATTGAGGTTTTTCTGAAGAAACCTTTTGAAATCTGACTTTGTTTTGATTTTGCAGGTCTAATATTTCCCTATATTCAGTTGTTTCACTACGACCACTTCCTACAGATTATGTTCCTTCAGCAGTGATGCTTCCTGGTACTTGTCAAACTCAAGGTAATCACGGAATACTAAAGTAGATCTTGAGATGTAATATAAATTACTTTAAAGGACTATTACTATAAGACAATGTAGTCAAAGTATTTTTAACAGGTATGAAGTATTTGAGTAACTACAGTTTATAGAAAAACATAATTGAAGTGATACCATAATAGCTTATGCTACTGGGATAGCCATTTGAAGCCAATCTAGACAAAAATTTAGTAGACTCCATCTTAACAGCTTTGCATGGGATTCCATACTTTTTCCTAACTATGGTGGGAAACAGAAGCAGAAAGATTGTCATCCAACCCAGACAAAACGTAAGATCTCATGTCAAAAATAACTAATGGCTCAAAAATAACCAATGGCTCAAAACCCATTACTGCCAAAAAAAAAAAAAACAGGCATCAAGTAACATATTAGGGTAAAAGCATTTTGATTGTGATAATGAAAAATGCATTTAATATTCCAAAATCAAGAAAAGGGGGATAAACAAAGGAAATATATGCAAAGATTAGATAGGCTATATTGAGTAAACTTGTTACAAAATAATAATGGATTTGGAATGAATTAATACAAATATTATTTTTCATTTGTCCTACTTGAATATATATTTTAAGATATAGAAGTCGAAGAAGAAGTAGAACCAAGTGATGAAATGATAGAATATGACTCACCAGAGCAGTTAAATGAGAAGTTGGTGACCCTATCCCTTCTCCCTGAATCGCGGTGGAAAAACCTGCTTAATCTTGATGTTATTAAGGTAATGAAGTACACTTGATACCACACAGTACATACACTTTGCTGTTGGTGTTGGTTTTTTTTTTTTGGTCCGGTTGTGGGGCCTTAACTCTGGGCCTGGGTGCTGTCCCTCAGCTCTTCAGCTCAAGGCTAGCGCTCTACCACTTGGGCCACAGTGCCACTTCCGGCTTTTTTCTTTTTGCTTATGTGGTGCTGAGGAATCGAACCAAGGGCCTCAGGCATGCAAAGCAAGCGCTCTACCACTGAGCTACCTTCCCAGCCCCTTGGTGTTGGTTTTTAAGCAGAGTGATAGCTTCCTTTGTTTTGAGGGCATTGAGTGGAGCCCTTGTTAGACAGTGTTATTTGGTTGAATGTTAATTCATCTAATGTGATTATCACAAAGATATCCTCCAGTGTCAACTCTGAAAGCATGTTGCAGATGTTTCAATGTACCAGAACTACATTCCACAACTGTAGAGCTACTAGAGGTAGTATATTTTAAATCCAATCTAATTACTTTTTTAGAACAAGAGGGGAAAAATTGCTACAATAATGTGTGTGTCTTACTGCTAGGTATTTGATGGCCAATTAAGTGTCACTGATTTTTTAGTTTATTTAAATGTAGGTAATTTATTAACCCACAGTCTACTCTGTCAAATACAAAGACTTAGACCTTTCTATGTCAGGGTTAGGCACAAAAACTAATATGAGATACATACTTTGACAGTGGTAGAGAAAGCAAAGTGAGACCTTTTGTCTTTGAGAAATTCCTTAAGCTTTCACATGAAAAATTTTTCTACTATGGTGTATATTAGTGGAGTATATTTCATGACTCATTTGTGAGTTGCTAAAGCAATTGAAACGATGATAGTGGAAACTGTCAAGTTATTTTTGATAATAGGAGTGTTACTGTATGAAATCTGACTATAGTATAACAAGCCACAGTAATTATCCTTAAATTTTAGCACTAGAAAAGATAAGCATGCTTTAGGTAAAGGAAGCAATATTTATACTTTTAAATTTCCTCACTGAAATTAAGGGACTTCTCTTAATTGCTGACTTTTAAGAGATTGGACATCAGTATAAATGTGTGCTGAATGGAAGCATAGTCGTGATCTCTCCATCATATTGTCCAGTCTGTCAATCTGGGTGGAGGGGGGGGGCGGGGATGAGGACTTGAGGATATGGCTTTAAAAGCAGAAGAGTACAAAACATAAGAACTCATGATATAGACCACCAAATTTAAGAAAAAAGGGAGGGGTGGGTCAGAGGGGGGTAAAAATGGCAAAGGGGGCGCCACTTATCAAAATACAGTGTATTCATAAACTGCTTTAAATGGCACCTCCTTTGTACAACTACCTAAAGATAATAAATATTTAAGAAAAGTTTAGAAGTATAATAAAATACAAGTAGTGATTATGAAAGAAGTGATCAGAAGAATATTCAACTAGTAGAGCAAAGATTCAGATTACTTTGCTTCTTAACTAAGATACAACACTGCACTAACATACAGAAACTATAAGAGTTTGGAGGTCTGTGTGGAAAACTTGGCTTAAGATTAGCTTTGGTGGGGGGGGGGAGGATGGGAAGGGTAAACAAAGGAGGAGGCTACAATTCTTGATAAGAAATGTACTCACTATCTTGCCCATGTAATTGTAACCCCTCTGTACAGTAGTTTCACAATAAAAATATATATATATATTAAAAAAAAAAGTTTAGCTTTGGTATTGGTCAAATAGATTGAAGTTTTCAGCAATCTAATCTGAAAGGGTTTTGTTCTGTTTTGTTTTTCGGTATCTGTTTCAAAATTGATTTAGAAACCTGATAAATAATTATTTACTGTATTTTCTTTTCATCAGAAAAAAAATAAACCAAAAGAGCCACCCAAAGTACCCAAATCAGCACCATTTTTTATTCCAACTGTTCCTGGACTTGTACCCAGATTTGCTGTACCTGAACAAAGCAGCGATCCCCAGCAGGTAAAATTCCATTTGGGATAGTCTGTAGTTTATGTTTGTATGTATTTCATGTTTGTATGTATTTCTCTGCCAAGACCGAGTTTTACAAATACAGGTAAATTGATGATGGCTCTTGATTCTATTTTTGGTGACACTGTTGTTCTTTGACTAATATATATTTGTTTTCATTTAAGTCTAGAGTAGTAAATCTTGGTGTTTTGGCTCAAAAATCAGATTTCTGCCTGAAACTTGAAGAAGGACTATTGAATAATAAATGTAAGTTAATTGTAGAATATATTAACAAATATTTTTTGTTTTATTTTAGGAAAAATGGAAGGAAATACTAGATATCTTAGTAGTTAAAAGAAAACAGTAAAACTGGGGCTGGGAAGGTGGCTCAGTGGTAGAGCGCTTGCCTTGCATGCCTGAGGCCCTGGGTTCGATTCCCAGCACCACATAAGCAAAAAGAAAAAAGCCGGAAGTGGCACTGTGGCTCAAGTGGTAGAGCACTAGCCTTGAGCTGAAGAGCTGAGGGACAGCGCCCAGGCTCAGAGTTCAGGCCCCATGACCGGACCCAAAAAAAAAAAAACAAAGAAAACAGTAAAACTTAAAAATGAATGAAATTTTGGTTCTAATCTGTATTAATTTTAGCTTTTTAATTGCAATAAAATCAGATGATGCAGATGAAAATCTTTATTGAAAACCTTTCATACATTCTGTAGGGCAGAGCATCTGCCTGGCAAACATAATAGCCTTAGGTACTTGAAGTGCCTAGGTACCATCAAAAAAAATTTTTTTATAATCAATTTGCAATCTTTTCTTTTTATACATTTGTAGAGCTATTATTTACATTTGTAGAGCTATTTTCAATAAAACAAAATGTTACCTTGGATAAATTTATATATTCCCAAGCTATCCTATGGAAGAGCAATTTTGGCTGGTCATGATATAAGCCTCTAATCTTAGCTACTTGAGAGGTAGAGAAAGAAGGATCCCAGTCTGAGGCTGCCCTGGGATATAAGTTTGAGACCCTGTCCGAAAAATAAAATAGTAAAGCAGAAAGGGCTGGGAGCATGGTTTAAACAATAGACTGCTTGCCTAGCAAGTGTGAATCTGAGCTCAAACCTACCACCAAAAATTTGTGAATGTATTAATGTATTTAAGATGCAGATTATAGCTACAGCTAATAGTAATGAGTAATTGGAATCACAAGTAATTTTAAACAGTCACTTTACCAAGAAATTTGAATCAACTCTTGTATGATACATATTCTTTTGTTTTTATACCAACATCACTGTAGTACATTGGACAGATTCAAAGAATGGTACTGATGAGTACTTGTTTTGTTTATTGGGAGGGGAAAAACACTTCAAAGTAAAAACATGCTGGAGGACAGAAAGTGAAATTGGTGAGAATTTTTCTTGGTGGTATACTGCTCGGACAACAAAAGGGATAACAATATTGCTATTGTGATAGCAAATAAATCATTATAAAACAGTTGTGTGTTGAGTATATAATCATAGAATTCATGGGAAGTAATAGTGTGTATCTACAGAGAAAACATAGATTTGGAGTAGTTAAGAATAAGGGCTGTGCCTGGAGCCTTTCCCTTTGTTGTATACTTCTGGGATAGCATTTCTAAATGATCTTGTGATACTATTATAATAATACTGAAAAATATCCCTACCTCAGCTTATTCCCAGTGTTAATCACTTAATAGTGTGTTATGTACCTCTTGGTCTCCAACTTAACATTAAGGGTTTTTTCTGATTGATGAGTATCTTGAAGTATGAAGCATTAAATTTTCTTTAACAGCAGGAAAACCTTTAAGTCACTGACCATGTAAAATGTTTAGTGCTTTTAATACTTTTTATTGTACTAGTCTTGTGCTTTTTGCTGATTTACATTTATTGTAATGTTTGTTCAACTTTTTGACTGGAACTAAATTAATGCACAAAAAGAATTCCTTGTCCCATTTAAATATATCTTATTGAGGCATGAAAGAAAAACCACTTTTCTATGTGTGTGATACTTGGGTTTGATAGAGTACTTGAAAGTAAAGTTTCTTAAAGTACTAGTAAGTAATTATTTTCTTTTTAAAATGTAATGCAGATGAAACTGCTCTGAACCTTCTGAAAGAATTAGGCCCCTCGGGAATTGAAACAGAGCTGCGGAATTTGTCTCCAGATGGTGGTGGATCTATAGAAGTTATGCAGAGTTTTCTGAGAATGATTGGAATGATGTTGGACAGAAAGCGGGATTTTGAGTTAGCCCAGGCTTACCTTGCATTATTTCTGAAGGTAAGGTAATGTGAGCTAATGGTTTACTTTTCCTTCCTCAATAGCAACATTATATACTAGAACTTTCTGCCAAGATGGACGTGGCCTGTATCCACCGTCTCCAGTACAACAGTACTTGTTATATGTTGTTGAATGCTCAAAATATAAGTGGTAGAGCTGATAGGCTTAAGTTTAAATGTTATGGAATTATAATAAAGTTTGAATAACTGCATGTGGCAGCTTTGTAGTCTTTTGTATCACCTTTTAACTGTATCTTGATTTTTTTTGTCATTTTTTTCCCATTTATTGAGCCTTTTAATCTTTTTCTAAGTAGTCATTTTGTAAGTTTTTCTGTGATTGTGAAGAGAAAGTTGGATCTTTGTTTTGTCTCACAGAAAATGCATTCAACTCTCACAGTTAAAGGAGTTTCACATGATTTGGCACAACTTGCTCTTCTGAAAAATATAGTAGAAATATGTTTTGAAGGTCTGTTTTAGTGGTATAATGTAGTAAAGGAGATAGATAACGCTGATTTAAAGTAATATATACTTCATTTGGCCTGTTAGTAATCTAAAATGAGTTCTCACTTCATTTAATTACTTTAAAAGTATTTGAATGCTAGATATTTAGATAATAGTAAATGATTAAAAATACAAGTGCCATATAAGTTATCTCATGTATTTTCTCATATACAAGTTTTAGTCCCCCAAAACAAATTTACTTACGTATTTAGAAAATAAAGCAAAAAAACAGTCTTTTATTTGTTGCCAATGGATTATACTGAAAGGAGAGACCTGTGGAAGCACAGAATTAGTGATAAAACCTGGATCTGGTACAAGACTTTGGTTTGGCGAAAGAGTGAGGAGTATTTCTTTTTCTACAAGAGTGACAATACCATAAAGGGCAATAATGATTAAAAAGGAAAAGAGTTGGAGGTAGGAAGTCAGAATCAATAATAAATTATTATTTAAGAAAAAACAACTAGGTACTATTTTCATAGATTCCTCAGTAGGAAAAAAATCCAAACTGGAAAATTTAAGTGTTTTTTTTTTGTTTATTTGTTTAATAAAGTAGCTATCTTACTTTTCAGTTACACCTCAAAATGGTTCCTTCAGAACCAGTACTCCTAGAAGAAATGACAAAATTGTTATCACAAGTGGAAGAAAACTGGATTCATTTACAATCACTCTTCAATCAAAGCATGTGTGTTTTAAACTATATCAAAAGTGCCTTGCTATAAAAGTAAGCTTAAGAGTTTGAAATAAAGTTATGCATTAAATGGGTTCAACTCAGAGTTGTGCTGAATTAAATGGAAGATATCAGATAAAATGGATCATAATATAGTTATAAAAATTACTTTATGATAAAAGGAATGTTTCCCTCTGGGAAACCTTTCATGAAAACATGAGTTGTTGACTCTTGGAGCTACCAGACATAGCTGACATTTTCAGCTACAGCCCTTGTGTTGCAGGCGATTGGAAATAAAGTCAGCTGGGATCTCAGTGGATTCAACTTCCTAACACAGGACTAGTGCTTCCCTCATTATCATGTTCCTGAAGAAAGTTCTTGAATCAGAAATGTGAATGTTACTTGCCCAATTAAAATCATTATAGGAAGAGTCTGAACATACACCAAGAGAGGAAAGTAAAATTCCAAATTCCATCAAAGGTTGTCCTCAGAGGCTTTCCTTTCTGAATTCATGATTTGTCATTCCTGAAATACAGCTGACTAGGTTTGAACACAAGTGACACTCCCATTCAGCATTAGGATGACAGAACTTTAAAGAATGATCTCTTGATAAAAAGTCTTGAAAGTAGTTAACTAATAGGATTTCTATCTAATGGAATATGATAGAATTACTAAATTACCATGGAAGTAATGCAGTGTGACTTTGTACTCATGTTTGTTTGTATTTTTTAAATGTGTATCCATTTACTAAAGCCAGTATATCAGCAGTAATGTGTTGACTTTGGAACCTGTATTTCCCTCTGTCCAAAATGGAATATTATGAAGATAAAGTGCTAATAAATGGTTAAGTACTTTGTAAAGATTGTAAATAATACAAAATAATAAGAGCTATAAACTGAAATCATACTCCTTTTACAAATGATGATCTGAGTTTTCTACTCTTTCAAATGAGAGTCCAGAGTTAAGTATGTTGTTTTTATTGGAGATCTTTATTTTTTCAGGTACTCTTCCAGAGCTTTCCCTGTACATTTGCTAACAATGAAGGGAGGAGAATGAAATATGAACTATAGTATTGTGCATAGTATTTTTCTTAAAAAGATCAGTATGTGCATAGTTTTTATGCATGTATAGCAATAAGTTTTACTATAAAAAGTCAGTCTTTTTATAGTAGTACGTAGCCACAGGAAATAAAATGTACAGTCTTGGCTTTTACATTGAATGTCACTTCAGACTTTCTTTTCTACTTGCTCTTATTTTACTTCACTCATACTTCACTAATCTTTATGCTTTTGTAATCTGACCCACTGTATTTTTCTTATGGAAAATTCAGTATTTTCTTTATCCCCTAATTATAAATAGTGCTGAAGTGAACATCATGTTTTTTTGAGTCTTTATTTGCAAATAAGAATTTCTCTCTAAGTGTGCTTAGAATTTGAAGTGCCAGTCCAGTTTAGGGGCTTGAACTCAGATTCTTAGCACTCTCTTAGCTTTTTCACTCAAAGCTGATGCTCTACCACTTGAGCTACAGTTTTACTTCAGCTTTTTTGCGGGGTTGGGAGGGGGCTGGTTACTTGGAGATAGAATTTCCTGCCTGAGCTTGCTTTGAACTGCAGTCCTCAGATCTCAGCCTACTGAGTTGCTAGGATTACAGGCATGAGTCACTGTCACTGAGATACTTCCAATTGGCTTTGGAAATGGATCTATCAGATTATAGTTCCCCTCAACAAAGAATGAGAGCCTGCTTCCTTCTCATGACACAGGTTTACAATTTTTATTCATCAAGTGAGTAAAAATACTTCTAATTCAGAAAGTTTTCATACTGTAAGGTTGCATATCTTTTCATGTATTTCAGGCTGTGTACATTTTCTGATTTTTTTGTTTGATCATTTTAAATATCAGGTTTGTGTTTTTGTATTTAGATATCTTTTTTGTCTGTTATCAATGTTTCCTCTTAGTTAACTGCTTTTATGTAGCTTTTCATGGTGGTTTTTAATAGATTTTATATATAAATTGATAATTTTTCATGCCTTCTAAATTATAAAAGCAAATCATCTGTTCTCTTAAGACATCATGTTCGGGGGGGGAGGGGGAGCGGGGAGGTTTGGTAGGGGGGGCAGGGGGAAGATGGGAAAGGATGGGAAGGGGAAACAGGAGGAGGCTACAATGCTTGATAAGAAATGTACTCATTATCTTGCCCATGTAATTGTAACCCCTCTGTACAGTATTTTCACAATAAAAAATTAATTTTTAAAAAAGACATCATGTTCATTTTAACACAAGTCATTCTTTTAAATAGTGCATCTATGTAAGTGGCTAATGACTACACTGTTATCTGCGATTGGTTTGTATAAACAAGATACCTGCTTTTATTCTAATGTCTGCAAATATAATTTTTTGAAAGTTTCTTGTCTTTGATTTGAAATATGTTGGTTCATTATGTGCTTAATACTTTATCGAGCAAGCTTATACATATGGTGTATTGCATTGATTGTAGTTTTGTATTTTCCGTCTTTAATTTGTATATACTCTGTGTGTGTGTGTGTGTGTGTGTGTGTGTGTGTGTGTGTGTGTGTGTGTGTGTGTGTGTGTGTGTGTGTGTGTGTGTGTGTGTGTGTGTGTGTGTGTTTGCGCGCTCACGCGCGTAACTAGCCCATCTTCTCACAGGTTATTTGGAGGTGAAGTTCCTTAAGGACTTTTCTGCCTGAGGTTTGTGAAATTCAAACCTCAGTCCTCCAGATTAGAGCCTCCTAGTAGGTACAAGTAAAAAAAGACGTGCAGGGACTAAGATACACACTTTTGTATGATAAGGGCAAACCAAAGCAGGACACAAGGTTTTAATGTGACTCCCTATCAAGCCCACATTATTTATTATGTTTCCTCTCATACGTTGTTTAAGAATCTCACAAATTACTCAATGTCTAAGCAGAAAGATTAAGAATGTAAGGGGTGGGCTGTGAAGGTGGCTCAGTGGTACAGTACTTGCCTCACATGCCTGAGGCCCTGGGTTCAATTCCTCAACAACACATAAGCAGAAAAAAGCTGGAAGTGGCGCTGTGGCTCAAGTGGTAGAGCACTAGCCTTGAGCTGAACAGCTCAGGTACAGCGCCCAGGCACAAAGTTCAGACCCCATGACTGACCGAAAAAAGAAAAAAAAATTGATAAGGGGTGCCAGGCACCTGTGGCTCATGTCTATAATCCTAGCTACTCAGGAGTCTGGGATCTGAGGACTGCGGTTCAAAGCCACCTCAGACAGGGAAGTCCAGGAGACTTTATCTCCAATTAACCACCAGAAAACGAAGTGGTGCTGTGGCTCAAGTGGTAGAGTGCTCTCCTTGAGCAGATGAGCTCAGCCCTCACCCAGGCCCAGAGTTCAGACCCCAGGACCAGCAAAAAGAATATAAGGGGTGCCTTATTTTAAGTGTCAGATCAGTCTTTGGTAAGTATGGGCTAATATAATGGGAAATTAAATATTCAATTCCATTAAAAAAAAAGTTGCCATTCAGCAAAGTAGTATATGAATACAATGAATATTGTATTTCCCTATTCCTCCCAACCCAACCTGCTCTTTTGTTTTGGCCTTGCTAGGGACTGAACCCAGAGTCACTAAACTGCATTCTTTACTAAGCTTCATTCCATCAACTTCAAGAATCAATAATCCATTCCTCCTAGAGTCTGTGCTGGAGAGCAAAATCCTCAGGTCCTCAATTTTCTCATATCCCTCTCTCTAGCACAGAGAAGAGGAATCTACTGAGATGTCCTTTCCACTGTCCCCTTAGACTTTTCCCTTTCCATTTGGTAACTTATATTGAAGAAAAGTTATAAATACAACAAGAAACTGAAAATCCTATTTTTAAATGTGTATATATGTTGACTGGCATCATATGTGATAAAAGGGGATGGTCATGGAAAGGAAAAAGGGAAGAAAGTATCTTTTTAAGGTGTGGCCAAATGCAAGCTCATTGGTGTACAGGGGTGGGTGGTCCATGAGCTGGGGACAAAGCAAACTTGAATGTTACCTGCATTATTTCATATATTCTTTAAGTATAGTCGTACAAATCCATGTATTCTTGTTTTCACCAAAATGGGACAAAATGTTAATGACTATTGTTTCTAGGTGTTGAGGGCAGAGATTTTATTATGCTTTGTGTTTTCTCCATTCTTCTCCAGGAAGATAGCCCTGGAACCTACAAATGTGTTTACTGCCTGAGTCACTGGGGCTTCCCCCAAACTCCAGACTACCACTTGGGCTGAGCACACATTCACTCTTTGTGAGTGACTGATATTGCTTCTTTGAGAGGCATGGATGGTTTCCAGGTGAGCTCTGGGCCCCGTTTCCTATCTGCTTCCATGGGTATGAGCAAGTGAGGAAACCAAAAAATGACCATGAGTCACCAGGCACACCTCCAAGAAGTGGTGGGAAGTATAGCTCTTGGCAGAAGAGATCCTCACCTAAGCAGTGCAGTACATGCCTGAGATTTCCCAGAAAGCATGAAAAATATTGGGTGGAGAGTTTCACTCTCCTTCAGCAATAAACAGAAATAATCCTCTTAATTAAGGGTGAACTAATGAAGAGGCACAGTGTCACACTAGCTTATCTCTTTTCCCTTACCAAACCAAAACAGAAAGAAAATTACCACCCTCCTCCTTGCTGGCACTTTGCAAATGTGCCATACCTTATGTCATTTGAAACAATTTTATCTTTAATAATGTACTGGGGGCATAGCACAATGGTAGAATGCTATTGTAGCATATGTGGGCTCTGGAATCTATCTCCAAGTGTGTCTCTGTTTCTGTCTGTTCCTGAATCCCCCCCCTCTCTCTCTCTCTCTCTTATCCCTGTCTGTCTCTGTCTCTCACATACACAGGCACACATGGGCACAAAAAAAAATCAAATACTGGTCTTTATTTTTTTTCATAGAGTATTTTATGGAGTAAAAGTTTTAAACAGCAGCCAGCCAGCATTCAGGAGGCTGCGACAAAAGGATTATGAGCTTGAGGCCAGCCTAGTTTACAGAGTAAGACCCTATCTCAAAAGGAAGAAAGGAAAGGAGGAGAGAGAGAGAGATAGAGAGAGAAGAAAACAAACTTCTGAACCAGTAGCACTGACCAAAGGCACTGAAGGTAACTTTAGATTATAGGAAACGGTATCCCTCATTGCATTGATGTATTCATGTGCCCCTGGTCTGATTAGAATACATTTACTTAGAAGTCTACTTTCTATGCTCTGCCTCTGCTTTGTGCTAGCACCCTCAGGTTTATTTCCAAGCTTTCAATGTTAACATGCAATAAGTGTTTAGCAAAGAACTAACTTAGTAGTTTTCAAAGAGTAGCCCAATATGCTAGCTAATTTTTATTGTCAACTTGACTGGATCAAGAGGCCAGGTGTGTTGTCTCATGCCTCTAACCCCAGCTACTCAGGAAGCTGAAATCAGGAGGGTTGCAGTTCAAGATCAGACAGACCCAAAAAAAAAAAAAAGGAAGTTATTGAGATTCCATCTCCCCCAACAATCTGGGCATCTATAATCCCAACTATTAGAATTACACAAATAAGTAGGTACGAGGATCTCAATCTGAGACCAGCCTCAAGCAAAAATAGGAGATCCTAACCCCTAAAAATTACTATAGCAAAAGAAAAGCTGGAGGTATTTCTCACATGGTAGAACACCTGTCTAGCAAGTGCAAGGTTCCAAGTTCAAATCATGGTACTTCAGGAGATAAATAAATAAACACCTAGATGGAGTCTAGTTGGAAAAAGTCAATGGGGCATGTCCTTAAGGGCCATATCTTCCCTGTCCTCCTCCTGTATTTGCCTCTTCTTCCTGTCCTCACATAATGCAGAGCCTCCTCCCCTATATGATGTCACCACTGTCATGTTCTACTGAACTGCATGGGGCCAACCAACCATGGTCTGAGTCCTCAGAGGCCAGGAGACAAAATAAAGCCTTCCTCCATTCAGTTATTTCTGCCAAGTATTTTATCACAGCAACAAGAAAGCAAGCTAAGTAATAATAAAATCTTACACTCTATAGTGTTTTTTGTTTTTTTTTAAAGAAAAAGACAAGTATATACATCCAACATTCCTGGGTGTTGGGGAACGTTCAGAGGCTCAGCAAAACATGATGAGAAATGTAAGACAAAACTTATCTTTTACTCCCAGTATTTCAAGTATGGGAAATACCAATAGATAGATATAATCCATATGCCAGGAGATA